GGAGACAAACAGAAAGCAGCTATTTTCTTTCTCCTACTGCCTCTTAAAACCTGTGTTCCAGGCTTATTCCTTCCCAAATTCAGATGAAATCTCAAGAGGTCCTATATGTATTCCTTTCCTTTTCAGTTTGAAGCATGATTTCAGTAAATAAAAAAATTTGGAGTTCTTTAAAATATTGTGTCTTCTGGCCAAAGAACATGATATATATCCACTTATTCTGTTCTTGTTTAATTTTCTCAATAATATATAGATTTTGAGAGGTCTTACAAATCTTTCATTAGATTTGTTTCTAGGTATTTTCTATTTCTGATGCATTTTTGAAGTTTGGGTATTTATATTTTTTAGGTATAAAGTTCTACATATGTTGGCTAGGCCAAGTTTATAATTGTGTTACTCAAATCTTTTAGCTCTTTCCTATTTTTGTGTGATTGTTTTAGTTACTAGAGGAGGACTGTGTTAAATTCTTCCACTATAACAAAACACTTGTCTATATCTGCTTATAGTTCTGTGAATTCATATTTTTAAACATTTTGAGGCAATACTATGTACATTTTACATAGTAGTTGTTATATATCCTTTTATTTTATGTGAAGTACCTTTAAAAAAATTTAAATGCATTTTTATGTGTGTGATAAGAACACAACATGAAATATAACCTTTTCACAGATTCTTATGTGTGCAAAACAGTATTGTTATCTATAGGCATATTAGCACAATAGTTGTAAAGCATGTCTCTAGAACATACTGATCTTGCATAACTCAATTTTTAAAATTAGGGTATCAATGATACACAATCTTATGAAGGTTTTACATAACTCAAATTTTATATTTGTTCATTTCCAACTTCCCATTTCTTCCTCCTCACAACCCCTAACAATCACTATTCTATTCTTTGTGTCTATGAGTTTGACTATTCTAGATTCCTTACATAAGTGAAATCATGCAGTATTTGTTCTTCTCTGACTGGCTTATTTCACTTAGCATAATGTCCTCATCGATATTGTTGAATATTACAAAGCTTCCTCTTTTTTTAAGGCTAATAATATGCCTTTGTATGTGTTTAACATATTTTTAAAATCTGTTTATCCATTGATTGTCATGTAGGTTATTACCATATCTTGGATATTATGAATAGCGCTGCAGTGATGAGAATGTTAATATCTCTTCAAGATCCTGTTTTCAATTGTTTTGGATAACTATCTAGATATAAGGATGCTAAATTATAAAATAGTTCTATTTGCAGTTTTTTTTGAGGAACCTTTATATTGCTTTCCATAGTAGCTACACAGTTTTGCATTCTCAACAGTGTAAAAGGGGTCCCTTTTTTCTGCATCCTAATACTTGTCTTTTGTTTTTTGATAATAGCCATCCTAACAGGTGTGAGGTAATGTATCATTGTGGTTTTGATATTCACTTCACTGATGATTACTGACACTGAGTTATTTTTTTCACATGTCTAATAACCACTTGTGTATCTTCTTTGGATAAATATCCAAGTTTAAATCGTTCAGGTTCTTTGTCCATATTTTAATTGAGTTACTCATTTTTTGTTAGAGAATTGTAAGTTGTTTACATGTTTTGAATATTAACCTCTTGTCAAATATATGGTCTGAAAGTGTTTTCTCCCATTCTATAGGTTGCCTTTTACTCTACTGATTGTTTCCTACTGTGCAGAAGGTTTTTAGTTTGGTTTGATCTTACTTGTTTATATGTCTGATAAGGAGTTAATATTGTCATGAAGACAAGAGATAAATGTTAGCAAGGATATAGAGAAAAGGGAATCCTTGTGCACTGTTGCTGGGAATTTAAATTGGCTTAGCCACTATGGAAAACAGTATGGAGGTTTCTCAAAAAATTTAAAATACAACACTAAGTTGAAACCACTCTATATCTGCCTCATCCATTTTTAGTGAGGAGACAGGTTGTGAGGTATTTATGCTAGAATAAAAAGAAATAACAAGGGTTTGAGAGTAAGATATTAGTACAAAACTCCCAAATTCTAAATAGTTAACCAATAAGATGAACTGGTAACAGTTAATGTGCTTTGACTCTGAGATTCTCCTGTGCTTGTTTCATGAGGCTCTTCATGATGTGCTGAAAAGGTCTGCTGAGCATTTTGTGTCCTTCCTTTCTGTCCACACAACCAGCACGTAAATTCCTTTAGGGCAGAGATAACATTTGCTCTCTAGTGTCTATGAATGGACCTGAATTTATAGCAGTGTTTCTAAGAAAACTGTATTTTAAGCCCCAAACAACAAAGTTATAAGCAAAAGTTTTGGGAATAAAATATTCAGGTAAATGGGTTATTACTTGAAGGTATTACCATTGTCAGCAGATATCTCTTTAAATCTCTTTTGGATTTTTGAATTAATTATCCAATGTTATTGTACTTACGAATTTTTAAAAATTGTACAGTAAACTCATAACCTGGTTACTCCTGAATATTAAATTGCATGGGATTTATATTTCAAAGGCCCAAACAAAAGAATTCTTGGGCCTAGTCATAATAATTATTGTGAATACAATCCTCTAAAATACAAGAAATATTAATGCTGTAATTCATAGTAGAGCTCTGCATTTTTTTAATGTAATAAAATACAACCAAAATACAATGTCGCATAGTTGGAATCATGGAGCAAACCACTTTTTCAGACTGGCTTCTTTCTTATTAGTAATGCATTTGAGGTTCCTTCATATCTTTTTATGAAGCTCACATTTTCATTGCTGAATAATATTCCATTGTATAAATGGGTGACAGTTTATCCATTCACCTCTTGAAGGACATCATAGTTGTTTCCAGTCTTTGGTGATTCTATAAACATTTGTATGCAGGTTTTGAGTGGACATAAGATTTTATCTCGATGGGTAAACCCAGGAGTGTGATTGGTGGATTATATGGCAGGACTGTTTAGTTTTGTGAGAAATTGCCAATTTTACTAGGTTTTTGAATTTTAGTTACTCTAATACATGTGAGCAGTATTTTGTTTTAATTTACAATTCTCTAATGGAGTATTATGGTTAACATCTTTCCATGAGCTTATGGACTCATCTGTATATCTACTTTGGTAACGCATTTGTTCAAATTTTTTGCCCATTTTAAAATTGGTTTGTTTTTTTATTTCCGAGTTTTAAGAGTTCTTAGTATATTTTGCATACCAGACCTTTATCAGATATAGGTTTTTCAAAGATTTTCTCACAGTCTTTGGCTTATCTTTTAATTTTTTAAATAGTATTTTGCAGAGCTGAGGTATTTAATTTTAAGGAAGCCCAATTTATCAATTTTTTCATTCATGGATCATGCTTTTGATGTATCTAAAAACTCATCCTTTAGCAAGGTCACCTAGTTTTTCTCCTATTTTATCTTTCAGAATATAGTTTATGTTTATATATTTTGGTCTAAGATCCATTTTGAGTTTTTTTTTTTGAAAGGTGTAAGGTATAGGCATATCCATTTTTTTGTGCATATATTTCCAAGTTTTCTAGCACTATTTGTTGAGAAGACTCATTTGTCCATTGAATAACCTTTGATCCTTTGTCAAAGTTCAGTTGCCTATAATTACATGGATCTATTTCTGGGCTTCCCATTTTATTTCATTCATTTTTCTTTGCCTTTTGTTTTAAACAGTTTTTAGTATGATATATGTAAGTGGGGTCAGGTTTTGTTTATTTTAATTTACCTCTTGTTGAAGGTTTGTAATACTTAGCAATCAATGCTTGATTACTTCTATAAATTTTGGGAACTTCTGAGGTATAATCTCTTAAATATGGCTTTTATTATTTCCTTAATCCCTTTCTGAGATGTAAAGTATGATATATTAGATCTTTACACTTTATGCTCTACCTCTTGTATGTTCCATCTATATTTTTCATCCCTTTGTCGTTTTATGCTTTTCTAGATGTTTTCTTCTTCACTATCTTTCAGTTTCTTTGTTTGACTGTGTTTAAACTGCTTTTAAAACCCGTCTTTAGCCTCTTGTTTTTGATTGCTGTACATTCTAGCTGCACATTCTCAGTTTTTTTATGGCTTCTAGTACTCTCCTGGAATTTTCAATCCTATCGATTATTTCCTTGCATGTATCAAACTTAGTTTGTGTCTGATGATGCCAAACGTGTTTTGGTTTGCAAGCTAAGAGTTGTTTTATTCATTCTTAAAGTGTTGTTTAAAAAAAACTAGGAAAAGAAAAATACATAATAGAGACTGTATGTGGCTCACATAAGTGTAACATATTTACTCTCTGGATTTTTATATAAAAAGTTTGCTGACCTTTGAACTAGCTTCTTTATGGATCTCTTTCTGTTGTCTTAGTGGTAATGTCTTATCTCCTATATCTGGTTAGTTTTAATGTGGTGTTTGGACTTTGAGCAAGTCCAAACTTGCTCAAATTTGAGCCGGATGGATATTAACTTCTTCCAGGGAAGAGTAAATTGCTTCTAGAAGGCAAATAAAGGCACTAACATTCTTGAATCACTCTGATGCAGTTGGAGAGTAAGATAATTAAAGGTGAACTTAGTCTTTATGAAGACTACTTGATTTCTGGTTCTCTCACAGTGCAGCCCTTTGAAGCTCCAAGCCAAAGCCTGGTGATTGAGCAGGGATCCCAGTCTTGGTGTGCCCTGACTGCTGAGTCTGTAGAAATCTTTCAGCTTTCTCTTAACTGACCAGTATATACTTCTTCTGGAATTGGCAGATGCCTCTGGGAGAAAAGTAACCCAAAATACCATGCTCATCACTATAGATTTCCATCTTTTCTCTGATCTTAACTTACTAATTCTTTTTTTTTTTTTTTTGCCCTGTTAGTAGTCTGTGTCTTTTCATACAGGTAGTTTTTAAATGTTTTTCCTAGCTATTGTAGTTCTCACTGAGAAGGTTGGTTTATTAGAAAGTATGACTATCATTATTGAAAATACAACTCTTCAGGTGTATTTGCTTTGCTTATAAATAGTAAAGTGTGTTTTTCTACATTATTTTTCACTTTAACATTTTTATATTTTTATTTCAGATAGCCTCACTGTTTCCCATGTATGTTGTGGGGTACATTGAGCCAAACAAATTTCAGAAGATCATTTATATGAATATGGTAACATTTTTAATATTTGTAAGTCAAATATTAAAATAAGACTCAGGGTTTTTAAAACAGAACTGATTCTGTTTATGGATATCCTCTTTCAAGTAATATTTAATATATATGATGTTGATAATATTCAGAAGGAAAGATTATATATATTTATATCTATAATATTCAGATAGATTATACTCTATCAACTATAGATATTGTGTACTTTGAAATGTTAAAAAAGTTTTGTTTGATATAATGAAAGTTTCATGTTCTTGTATTTTTGGTTTTATATTAGTTTCCAAACACAGCTCCCTTAAGAACATAAAAATAAATGTTTTTTACATGAGAAATTAAAGCTTCATTATTGATGGAAATTCTCGAGTAATTCAACAAAAATAAGATTAGAAAAGTAATACTCACAACCAAGTTTTCTTTATTATATCACTCCATTATTAAATTAATAGAAATAAGAGGGTTTTTTCCCTGTTTTCTTTGTACCAAGTAGCACTAGGAAAGAAAACTAATTCTGCTGTATAGAATTTATGGTGTTGAAAATACTTAGAACCTATCAGTATCTTGAAATTATATTATCATTAGCTAAGATCTATTTATTAATCTTCTTTATGCAAATAGTTTGCAATAAAAATGGCTCTATGCTTATAGACAAAGTATGCATTCTGCTATATAGCTAATAACTATAAAATATCTGTTACTTTGATTTTTCAGATATCAGTTCTCCTTTGTTTTGTGTTGATGTTTGGAAATCCAATGTATCTATCTTCTTACTATTCTTCATCTTTGTTAATGACATGGGTAAGTGTTAAGCTCATGAAGATTTCTTTTTAACCTATCAAATATAGCAGATTTACCCATCTAATACATGTTTAGGAGAGTAAATAGGGCCCTTTACTGATTAATACTCACATGAAAAGGTTTTCCCCAAAATAACAGCATTTCTCTACCTCATCCTTGAAAAGTAATATAGTACAAAGTTTGCCTTTTTAGGGCAATGCCCAGACAAATATTTCAAAGTTCATAAGACTTACTTTTAAAATATTCCATAATTTATTATGAAAACTAGTTTCCTTCTCAGTCACTTCAGTAGGGTAAATACTTATTGCAATGACATTGTTATTGTCCAAAATATTTTTGGAACTCCTTTGAATTGCCTTCACAGATTATAGCACATTCTTTTGAATATCCTCAATGGTGGCAAATCTTTGTCTTTCAAGCTGGATTTTATTTTTTGGAAATGGCCCAAGTCATGTGAATAAGGTGGGTCATTGGGCTGGGTAACATAGATCTTGATCAAAATATGTGTGACAATAAAGTGATAAGACCAATTTGCTTGCATCCATAATAAAATTATCTCTGAAGGCGTTTTAGAAAGAGGAGTTCCAAACCATTTTGAGCTAATGACAACATAATTAGAATAAGTATAGAATTTCCTCATGTGACTTACTTGCATGGAATAACATTCATTTAGATATGAATTTGGAATGCTGGTTCAGTAAATCAGTTTTACTACTTTATAGTCACACTTCTGATATGCAAAGGCCAGAATCTGGAATGTTCTTCTCCACTTTAATATTCCTGGAATGTTCCCTTTCCATAGTGAACATAAAGGTTACCAATCACAGAAACACCAAAATACAACACTTTTTCATGTGGGATGCAATGATGAAATCTTTTGGGATTGCCTTTGTGTTTTAACATTTTTGCTCCCCATGTCTTTTTTGCCTCACAGTAAGTGATCCACCCTCTTTTTCTCTCCCCGAAAGCATAGACTCTTTCTTTCCAACATTTTGTCAAACTTTGCCAGCATTAATAGTGTGTTCATCCACCTTTATGAAATATGAAAACTTCTATAAATTTTATGAAAACTATTTTGAAATACAGCACAGATACAGAAAACTACAAAACAAATGTTTTATGTACTGACTTATTACTGATAAGTACTGATTAGTGAACTATTGTTTGACAAACATTCTCAAAGTACTATCAAGTCAAAATCAGAACTTTTCCAACCATTCTAGAAGCCCTTCATGTGACCTGCCTCAATTATAATTCCCTTGCACTGCTCTAAAACATTAATGACTATCTTGACTATGGTAATCACTCTTGACATTCCTTTTTACTTTTATCACTTAAGTTTCTATTTTTATCTACATGTTTCCAATATATATCCCTGTTTTTCATTAGGACATTTATTTGTTTAATCAGTTTAAGGGACACTAAACATGTGGATGGCTCTATGATCAAGATATTGCTCTTGGACTCCTCACAGTGCATCTTTCTGTCTTCTACTGTCTCTGTATTTATAACATATTAATAATTGGATTTAAAACTTAGGTTCAGGTTGATTCCTTTGGCACATCTATAGTACTCTTCTTTCATCAGGAGATACCTCTCTTTTTATTCTAGCGGTCCTAACACTTAGTACCAGATCCATTAATTCAGTAGGGATTGCAAAATGGTATTATTCCATGCCCCATTTACAGTTAATATAGGCAAAGTAAAATCCATGTCTAAATGAGGGAAGTTGGGAGGAGGTAGAAAAAATTATTTGAAGAAATAATGGCCAACATTTTTCCATCAAATTTGATGAAAATTATAAACTCAGAGATGAAGAATTTTTATAAATTTCAAATACAAGAAACATAAAGAAAGCTATAGTATGGCACATTATAATCAAATAGCTCAAAATCAGTGATAAAGAGAAAATCATAATAGCCAAAGAAATACGATGTGTTAAATATAGAAGAACAGAGTGTAAACATGTCAGCAGATTTTTCGTAAGTAAAAATGCAATAACAGTACAGTCAATAAACATCTTTTAAGTATTTAAAGAAAAAAGTATTGTCAATCTATAATTTTATACCCAGGAAACATACCTTTAAAAATGAAGGCAAAATAAAGACTTTAGGTTTACACTAAAAGAAATGTTAAAGGAGGTCCTTCAGATTGAAGGAATATTAGATATCAGCCTGGCTCTACACAAATGAAATGGAAATGGCAGCTCAAAGTAAATATAAAAGATTTTCCTAAAATTGGTGCCACCATGGCTAGACATTGAGGGCATTATGCTACAAGAAATAAGTCAGAGAAAGACAAATACTGTCTTTCCATTTGTATCTTTAATGTTTTTCAGCAATGTTTTGTAGTTTTCAGTGTATAAGTCTTTTACATCTTTGGTTAAATTTATTCTTAATACTTATTCTTTCTGAGGCTATTATAAATAGAATTCTTAATTTCCTTTTCAAATATTTCATTGTTAATATATAGCAGTGCAACGTGTTTTTGTATGTTGATTTTCTATCCTATTTTGCATAATTTGTTTATTTTAATTGTGTGTGTGTGTTTGTGCACATGTAACCTTTAGTATTTTCTACATATAAGTCATCATCTGCAAGCAGATATAATTTTACACCTTCCTTTCCAATTTTTATGCCTTTTATTTCTTTTTCTTGCTTAATTACTCTAGCTTAATGGTGAAACGTGGCATCTTTGCCTTGTTCTTGATCTTAGAGGAAAGCTTTGAGTTTTTCACCATTGAATATGATGTTAGCTGTGGAATTTTCAAATATGGCCTTTATAATGTTGAGATAATTTCCCTCTATTCATATTTTGTTGAGAGTTTTTATAATGAAATAGTGTTGAATGTTATCAAATGCTTTTCTGCATCTGTTGAGGGGATCAAGTGATTTTTATCCCTTATTTTGTTAATGTAGTATGTCACATTAATTGATTTGCCAATGTTGATTCACCCTGGCATTGCAAGATAAATCTCATTGGATCATACTGTGGGATCCTTTTAAGGTGCAGTTAGAATTGGTTTTCTAGTATTCTGTTGAGGATTTTTGCATCCATGTTCACAGGGATATTGGTGTGTAGTTTAGTTTTCTTGCAACGTCTTTGTCTGGCTTTGGTATCAGGGTCATGCTGGCTTCATGAGATAATGTTTGGAAGTGTTCCCTCTTATATTTTGTGTAAAAGTTTGAGAAGGATTGACATTAATTTTTTTCTAAATGGTAGTATTCACCACTGAAGCCATCTGGTTCTGGTCTATTCTTTGTTGGGAGGTTTTTCATTACTGGTTCAATCTTACTACTAGTTATGGATGTGTTCAGAGTTTCTATTTCTTCATGAGTTTGTCTTGGTAGATTGTATGCTTCTAGAAATGTATCCATTTCGTCTATGTTTTCCAATTTGTTGGCATCTAATTGTTCATAGTAGTCTCTTATAATTGCTTTTGCTTGAGTTTAGTTGTTTCAGATGGGAAAGTAAATGTGGTTGTTGTTATACCAACTGAAGGATCCCCAACAGTAAGATGGCGAACTTCCGGCTTCTCTTCGGGGTCCTCGGTTCCCGCTGGCGCCACCTGAAGCCCAATCACCTCTCGCCCCCCTCCCAATCCCAGCACCTAGCCAATAGCCACCAGCCCCATAGAAGTAACACCACAATCACCCCATGCCCCTTCCTATATTACCCAGCACCTTTCCCTAATAAAGCAGAATTCTCCGGTGAATTGCTGCTGTGTGTCGCTCCTTTCCTTTCACCAACTTGACCAGAGCAGAAATTCCATCCTGGTTGATTTTAATTACTTAATTTATTTTTTGGGTGAAATATTACCGGGTTTCTAAGAATAAGAAATATACAAAAAGTTATACTCAGAAATTGTCACAACCCCTTATTCCTTCCACCCCATTCACTCCACCTTTCTCTAGGTAGATTTGGTCCTACCTATTTATTCTAAGATATCTCATTGGTTTTCTGTTTTACCCATTTAGTTGTTTTTTTCTCTTTTATACAAATAAATATTACAATACATTTTGTTATATCCCCTCTTAATTACATCAAAGGTAGCGTACTATAGTCTTTTGCACTTTGATTTGTCAGCCTATTCTGGATATCACTTAATGACCTATCTTGCGTATCGCTCCATATCAACTCCTAGAGATCTTGCTCATTCTCCACTGTGCATGCATGTACTACTGTCTCATCTGAACATAGAGGTTGTTTCCTATATTTTGCATTTGTGTACAGTGTTGCAATGTATAATCCATACATTTGTATTTTCCTGTTGTTGGATGTTTACGAATACTGGCTCACCTTGGGCTAACTAAATGATGCAGAATCCTACTCCACATCTAAATAATACACAAGCCTAAGATTTCAGTTTCTGAGGAGAAGCTTTTTTTTTCACCCCAAACTTGAGAATAAACAAATACCTTATCAGTTTGTAGAGATGATAGAAATATGCCTGGTCAGTGAGTGTCTTTGTTAATTGACACTGATATAAAAAAATAATGCAGACTGGGTAGCTTACAAAAAAATTTATCACAGTTCTAGAGGCTGGGAAGTCCAAGATCAAGGTTTTAGCCAATTTGGTTCTTGGTGAGGGCTTTCTTCTTGGTTTTATGGACAAATGATTTCACCAAATTCTCACATGGTGGAGAGACAGATGATCTCTTTGATGTCTTTCTTATAAGGGCACTGATCCCATTCATGAGGTCTCTACCCTTATGATCAAATTACCTTCCAAAGGCTCCACCTCCAAATACATCACATTGGGGATGAGGGTTTTAACATATGAATTTGGTGTGGTTCTTGACCATTCAGTTGATAGCACTGAGGATTTGGTATTTTGGACCCCAGCTTTATGTATGAGTTTGCATTCCAGTTTCTTACCTTTCATAGTTCCAAACCCTCTTCTGCTACCTTTCTTTTTAATGCAAACCTATAGTTGTAACCTCATTCCACAGCCCTCCTTAAAGACTGCCGTAAGTTAATTAATTAACTTTATCTGTATTAATTATCTGTTAATCATTTAGTTTTTAAAAATTTCCTTCTTTGGCACATGGAAATTTACTTTTCTGTCTTATAAGTTTGGCATATTTTACACATTTTGAACTTTTTATTTGGGAGTTTGGGGAAGCATTTTCATGTTAATTTAGACCACTAATTTTTCTGGGTAATTTACATATGCACTTGCATGGGCATATCTCCTATACCATCTACCTCCTCAGAATTTTCCTGAGTAAAATTCCCAAGTAACTCAGTGAGAAATTAATTTAATTCTAGAGGTAACTTTTTGGTGCACAAAACATTTATTTAGCTCTCCCTCCAAGGAAATTTGCCATGTCCAAATTTTGAAAGATCAACACTTAAGAAGGAACATGTCTGGAGATAGCTAAGGTGGAAGGGGAAGGGTGGTTATGTAATTTTTGAAATGTATCATTCATGTAAAATACAAATGTTAATTTAATTTAATTTTACATACATTTTAGGTGATAATTCTAGAGAGATATAAAATTCAAAGATTGAGAGTATCTGAACTGAACTTTTGGGTAAGTTTCAACATTTTCAACACAGTTTCTTCAAACTCTTATTTCCATGACTTGAACACAAATAATGTACTTAAAAAATTTAATGACTTATAGTTAATACATCTTATACATAGCTACATACATCAGGTGAGAAATAGTCCTTAGCAACATCTGCAAGTCACTATCAAGAACTTAATTTATTTCAGCACTATCCTCAGGATTTCTGTACTTTTCATTCTGCTATACCATTACTACCTTGATTTTTAAATCTCTATTTGCCTTGAGTTTCTCTTTTTAAATTTACTAACCTTTCATTCAAAATAATTCAGCATGTAGTTCTGACCCACTTTCCTTTTTTCTTTTCTCTACGTCTATCCATCCATCATCTATCTTTCCTTCTGCTTCCAACTTCAAACTTATTTTTGCCCCTGTAACATTTCCTAGTATTCCACTCCTTTTTATTATCTCAACTTACTCACTACCTAACCTTTGTTTGACTTCTTCCCAAATATAACATGGTGGCTCATGATATCTTGTTCATGTGTTTTGTTCCCAAGTAAAATATATTTTATTAAGTAGGCACTGAAACAGCTAATTCTTGTACTATCAAATAGATGACATTCATTCTTTTTCTCTGGATCTTGGATGTACTCCTATTAAAAAAGTAAAACCTGCCATATTGAGGAACTATGTGATTACATAGAATATATTGATGGAGTAAAACTGGAAAAGTTACGGTAAGAAAAGAACGTAATTTTCTACTCTGAATACAAAAGAACAAGATAGAGTGAGCTGCCAGTTTCTCATTGCTAGAGGCATTCTCCTATCCCTTATGATGAAACTGTAGAAATATCTGTGCATTTAAGTGATTGCACTTTATAGGTTTCTTCAATACAAGCAAATTGTGCTTTATGGGAGACTCCTATTTTTGGTTGCAAGGTAATTACTGAACAGAGCTCATGATGAAATTTACTCAGAAACACTAAGGGGCACTCTGTGTATTTCATAAGAGATTGAGAATTCCTACAAGAAAGGAAACAGAACTCACTGGTAAACTATAGTTTGATACTAAGACCAGGCAAGGACATTATATTCTTACTCATGAACATAGATTTTAATTTTCACCTAGATAAAAATACTCAATCGATAAAAATACAAAAGAAAAAGAAAATTACAAGAACAGCCCTATCTATCTCTTATATATAAAAGAGAATCCATTCTGATTAAATTGAGTTCATCCCAGGAATACAAAGATGTTTCAATTATTGCCAGTTTGAAACTGTTTTTCTATAATCTTTATACCTGACAGATTTGCTGGATGTAAAGTCCTTGTTTCCCACTGTCTTGAATTTTTTAAAAATGGTCTACTCTTGTCTTGCTTTTATTTTTATATGTTTTAAGTCTGATACTAGCTAAATTCTCTTGGCCTAATAAGTTATGTGACCTTTGTGCCTGAAGGTGTTGAGGAATTTTTCTTCATTTTTAATTGTTTTACTAGGATGTGTCTTGATGTAGTTTGTCTTACCAGGCCAATTTTCCCAGTACCTAATGGATGCTTTCCAAATGTAGATTCAGATCCTCTTTAATTTCTAAAAGTTTCCTTGAATTATAGTTTAAATGCTAGTTTTAAACCATTGTTTGGTTTTTCTTTTTCAGGGACTCAAATGTTGTTACCTGTCTTCCATTTCTACCACTTTGATTTTTTTTACTTCCTTAATCTCTTTTTTTACTGCCTTTACTTCAGTTCCCTTATTAAATTTTTATTTGAATCTCTTCTCCTTTCATTATCTTGAGAATGTCTTTACTTTTTGATGATTTTTCTCCTTTTCTTCCATTTCTGTTCTATAAGTTTAATCAACTCTCTTTTCACTTCTGTTTTTTTCGTAGTTTTTGAAATTTTTATTTAAGGTTTTTTATATTTATGAATGTTTATTTAAGGATACTTAATTCATCTTTTAATTCTACACTGTAGTTTTCTGCTTTGTGAGATTTTTGTTAAACACCCTGGGATGGGGATCATCAGCTAAAATGTTTGAACCTCATTTTTGTCATTTTTTTATAGGAGTTTTGTATAAATAATATAGGCATGTCTAATCTAATTATTTTGTGGACAGAGCTGGCATTTTTTTGTCCAAGTGCAGCCTCTTTTGTCAATGTAGCAAAATGTGCTTTTATCAGTTTCTTTTTCTTCCCTCCTTTCCTCCATCCCTCCTTTCTCTCTCTCTTTCTTTCTCTCTCTCTTTCTCTCTCTCTCTCTTTCTCTCTCTCTCTCTTTCTCTCTCTCTCTCTTTCTCTCTCTCTCTCTTTCTCTCTTTCTCTCTTTCTTTCTTTCTCTCTTTCTTTCTTTCTTTCTTTCTTTCTTTCTTTCTTTCTTTCTTTCTTTCTTTCTTTCTGTCTGTCTGTCTTTCTTTCTTTCTCTCTCTCTCTCTCTCTCTCTCTTTCTTTTTCTCTGTCTCTCTCGCCCTCGCTCCCTCCCTCCTCCTCCTTCCTTCCTTCCTTCCTCTTTTCCTTTTTTCTTCCTTTCCATAAGTAATGCCTTTCAGACATCAGTACTTGTTTTATCCTACACCCTTCTAAGTCCCTGCTCTGTATTCATTCTCCAATCTACTGGGGCTCTTTTCACACACTTAAGGTGGGCTTTCTCTTTCTGAGGTTATTTTAGTTCAATTTTGGGCCCCTCACTTCCCACTTCCCACTTCCACATAGTTTGGAAACTGCCCTCATTCTCTGCAAAGGCTAAGATCAAGACCTTGAGCTATACCTTTGCTGTATTTCTATTTAAAGGTAATTTGAAATTTGTCTGTTATCTTTTTTCTGTATGTGTGGTTGTATTGTTCTACTTGTGTGGAGAGAGTTGGATTTAGGCTGCTGTAATTTTGCTCAGGCTACCGAGAAGCCCACATCAGCGCTCTTTCTAATCAAGGCTAGCCAAGAAATAAAGAACAAACAGAAACGCTCATGTAATTTTTAGTTCATATTTCTGTCTTTAAAATGAAAACATAAGTTTTCACATTTCAAATTTTCCTTTCTTGAAGATGGACTGATATAACTATTTCCAAAAGAGTGGTAGAAGAATTTCTAATAATTTAATCCTACTTTCATAAAAGGATTTTCAGCTGGAAAATAATCCTGTTTTTAAAAAAGGGTTTTCAGCTTGTAAAACAAACATATAACCCTTTTCTTAGCAGAAATTGAAAATAAATTACTTAAAAAAATCCCTTTAGATTTAGGGTATGTAGAACTCTTGTGTTGTTACATGTTTTATAGCAGTGTCATCAGTTTTCTTTCCCTTTACATGAAATTTTCTAAAGAAACATCGTTTTTTAGACCTCATCACTAATACCTCATGTGATTAAAATTTTCCTATGCCACTTATGATGTAATTGAATATTTTAATGGGTAATTTATAATTTTTAATAGCTGACTTCTATCTCTTTTATTTATTTTCTAGTTGATTCAAGGCTCTGCTTGGTTGTGTGGAACAATCATTTTGAAATTTCTGACATCTAAAATGTTAGGTGTTTCAGACAATGTAAGTACTTTCTAGTAAAAACATCAAAAATTCCTATAAATATGTAACTGGATGAAAACTTTGAAACAATCTATTTTAACCTCTTTATTTACAGAGGTTTAGTGCCTTCTTCAAGGTCCTCAACCTAGTTAGTTATTGGCAGAGTCAGTACTGAAACCCTGCATGCAGTTCAATGATCTTTTCAACTCTCTAAGAAAAAATTATAACAGTGAATGCTAACGTAGACTTCTAGGAAAAAAATTAATTGTATCTTAATATTTCTTATCTTTTATATCTTAATATAAAAGTTATCTTCTTTTATATTGTATATCTTATCTTAATATTTATATTATATATCTTCTTATCTTAATAATTATATATTTATATTTCAGTTAAAATACAAATAATCATTTGTTTAAAAAATTCATTTATTGCAAAGTTAACATGTGAGCAATCTGTGCTCAGCTTTGAAATATAGAACTTTTAACATCTCAATATAGTTTATAATTATGGGCTAAAATTAAGAGTGATTTGATATTTTTAAAGCTTTCCTTTTAATGTAAAAAGAGAATGTTAAAAGTTTTCTGTATTTCCTTCTTCTAGAAAATATATATCCCTCCTGTGTTGTGTTTCTGTTTGTTTTAAGGCTAATGTGCTAAATAATGCTCTTTTTCAAAGTCCCTACCTAAATTAGGAAATAGAAAACAATGCGTGTATTTGATTTTGATTTTTAGTATTTTCTGTTTGGATAGGAGCATACATGATTGTGTCATACAATAATCTACTCTGAAATTTACCTTGTCTAATGCTATCCATTTATGACCCTGTGTAATGCTGAGTACTTCAATTTAACAAGGGATTACAGTACTTATTTTCTAAAAGATCAAGAGCTATCACTATCCAATGGAATTGAGCTTGCATACCTGCTCGTGTTAAATACATTTTCAAAATGTAAGGGTTTATTTGCCTTTTATTGCTAGCTCTGCATAGTGGTTTATGAGGTTTTATTTGTTGCTGTTTTTCTCTGGTATGTCTGACAAATTTTCTTTTTGTCTGTCACTTTTTATTGTTCTTAACTTTTTATTCTGTAGGGGTATGTATTTCATCGTAAACTTTATTTAGGCCTCTTAAGCTATTCATTTGTTAAGTTGGTTTGTGATTTTCTTTCTTGCCTTGCTTCATGTTGTCACCCAACTCTTTACAAATCTTAAACCCACATATGCACGTCCTTGGTACTCTTAAGTGACTTTCTCTGTATAACAGTTGTGAGAAAGATGTGAAACTGAAGTGAATTGGTTGAATTATTATTGGTCACCAGGCCTACTCTACATTAGAAAAGTAAAGTCAACTCTAAATTATCCTCGGTACTGGAAGAAAAGGGGAACTACAAATAAATAGAAATCACAGATAATCATCAAATGATATAAAATAATTTGAATTAAAGTTTACATAACAAATATTTTCCTTTTTCTGGCCTTCTGGGAATGTAGTGAAAAAATAGTTGTGTCACTGACAGCAGGTAATAATCAGTAAAACAGGATGTCTGCCTTGGGCTTGGTTGGTGGTATTTATTTTAAAGGCCTTGGATATTAAGTAACTAAATCAAAGTAGTATATATAGTTGTAATTCTTTTTGAAACATAGCTCTCATATTTGATAGCTTGAATGTATGTGTTGCTCCAGGAGGAGGGGGTCCCAGGCCCAGGGCAAGTTCTCTGTGAATTTGGTGAGACTGAATAAAGGCAAGAGTAAGAAGTTGGGGCCTTAAAGGGGGTTTTATTCTCATGGCAGTAGGTCTCAAGTCTCTTTTCTGCTCTGGCTTCCCTCTGACAGCCTCTGTTCTGTCCTAGTTCTCCTGCCAGGCTTTCCTCCTTTGATCAAGCTCCCTACTCCCATGCTTGAGCTTAATCCTCCAGGAGAACCAGGGCTCCAGGTTCTCTCTAGGCTCTCCTGGTGACCCTCCCCTTCCCCACCTCTAGGACCCAGAAGAACTCTGTGGGCAGATCCCTGGTGACTGGCAGATGCCCAACCAATTACATACCAGGAGCCACAGGGCAAGGAGAGGAGACAATGGGTGTTCCCTCTCTACCCCTCCCCAGGGCCAGTACTCCAGTGACTGACTAGCAGCTCTGTTGCATGCAGGTAAACAACCTGCTGCTCTCGTATGCATGCAAAGCAGGCTCTTACATATACATAGACAGTGCTATCAAGACCGGGCAGGAATCCTGGTCAGAAATTTCCATTTTTCTCCACAGTAAATCTGAAAAAATTTAATGAGCACTAGAAATTATAATCAGTATGTCAAGTTTTGTGAAAATGACAGTGCATAGAAAATTTGGTCATGATTTACAATGTGTGGTGAAAGGAATTAATGTGAAATTATGGGTTTTTTTAATAAATGATCTCTTTATAAAATCTCATGATTAACTGCATGGTGATTTCTGCCCAGAAAATGTTTTTACCTCACTCTTTACATTAATATCTTCTCTGCTTATTTTTTCTGACCTCTCTACTTTTTACTTCTCTTGATATTTCTCTTTGTTTTCAGATTTTTTTATAATCAGTGCCTAGCACATATGGTTTACTGTATCTTTTTGTTCTCTTTGAGGAGCAATCTGTGTACTTTTAGGTTTATCCACTCTGTAGACATTATTACTATTATATCAAATCAGTTATTATTGACTATAATTATTTGTGCAAATTCAATTTGTTTTACTTTATTTTTTTCCAGATTCGCATGACTGACCTTATAATAGCCAAAATCTTAAAATATACAGATTTTGATACCTTAATTTATACCTGTGCTCCTGAATTTGACTTCATGGAAAAAGCGGTATGAATGTTTCTTTGTTTCAAATTCCTCTACAGGTATGATAGCTTTTGCTTATAAGTTTTCCTTTTAATCTGAAGCTCAAAATTTTTATTCAGAACACCTAACTTACTGTATCATTTCTTCACTATAACTTTTGCTAAGCATATAGCCTTCCTCATCTCTTGTCTTATATGTAAAATCACTTAACAGTAGCCCCTGTCTTAAAGAATTATTGATGATGGTCAAATGAGAAAATCCAGAAAGAGTACTGAACATGCAATATGATCCATAGTTAAGTATTACTATTACATTTCAATTAATTTTAATAATCTAAGTCATTTGGCATTGTAGGACTACTCAGAAAATATAAATCCAGATTCTTACATTTGTTTTTAAAATAATCAATTTTTCTTAATTTAATGCTCCAAATATTACAAAATTTTTAAACTAGAAATTGTAAGAAAGGCATACTACTGATTTTACATTATTCTCTTAACCATCCAGCCAGTTCTACATTCACTCAGAAACTATTATTGACCTCTGATTACATATGAGGGATTTTGCTATAGGACTACAAAGTGGAAAATGACTCAGTTCCTGACTTAAGGAAGTCTACAGTTTAGTTACATGGTGAATCACTCCCTTTTACAATAATAAGTTATGAAAATTATTTAGCTGCTGATATTATTTCAGCACTTATTTATATTTGCAGTAATTATTTAGGCTAACTTTATTCCTTATTAGTTTAGTTTTATGAATGAAAATAATAGAACTTTGTGCCTCAGGAAATAATGTAGGGCCGAGGGATCAGTAAATACATATTTTAAAACTATATATTATGTACATTAAGGAAAGATAAAACCAAAAGTAAGAATAAGCACAGCTAATTTTTTATTTAATAGTTTTTATTATTAAAATTTTTGAAATTTTTTATAATTTTGATTCTTATATTAGAACAGGCTGACAAATACATGTTAATGAAAAGATATTTTTACCTTTAAGAAATTTCATTATGAGACTCAATTTGACATAGATTTTTACTCATTTAATGTAAAATTTAATAAGTGACTTTCGCATTGTTTGCTTTATTTCAGACTCCACTTAGATATACAAAGACATTATTGCTTCCAGTTGTCATGGTGATTACTTATTTTATCTTTAAAAAGGTATTTAAAAAAATTTTATCACGTGCTTTTGGGTTCAAGATCACAACTATAACAGATTAATGCTAATAGCTCAGAATTCCATCTAATTTTTAGGGTGAACTTTTCCTCTCCCTAAAAATTTTTTTTCATTCAGATCTTTCCTTTATCTAGTACTACATGGGTTTTTTAGAGAGCCATATTAGAAAAGATATTTATTCTTTCAAAAGAAATTTATCATTTGGCCAGTGTTTACCAAGAACTATGTCAACACTGTAGGCACACTGAGACTAGAAAGACAGACCCGCTCCTCCTCTCTTGGACGTTACCATCTGTTGGGGTGGGTGGGAGGGATGGTAAGTTAGGAGTCATGACTAGTAAATGACTAAACAATTACAATTGCTATAGGTTCTGTGAAAAATAAGTATGATGACAACTTTAGGATCTTTCAAATAAAAAGCGCATGCAAAAGTAGTCTTGATCCTTTTTGAGATATGTTCAGGAGAAATTTGTATAGCCATTAAAAAAAATCATTCTCCGTATGTTCACTGTTTTCACAACAAAAGAAAATATTATCATATTAGAAGAACTACTATTTAAAATACCACTGGCAAATTTTCTTGTTCTGGGAGTTGTTTATCTGAAAGCCTGGTTTGAAGACAGTGGGTCCTTAGTTTTTAGCAATTTTCAAGTTGTCTTTATATTGTTTCAAGTTGTCTTTAAGTCAGTATGCACTTATTTTATACTTTTAAGCAGATAGCAATAATATGATTTCTCTACCACCATACCATGTGTGGTCCTGTTGAAACTAGTTTTCCATATTTAAAGTCAAATTATGTATCTTCTCTACATAGTTCCAGTTGCCACTTATCTCATTCCTTTGTTTTCTCACAGAATATGGATACTTTATGAGTGAGAAAGGCATTTCCCTTGACATCTCTGTTATTTCACCCTTGATCCAGTTCTCTAGGGACTGCTTGTGAAGAGTCAGGATAGTGGTAATGATGATGAATGGGCAAACTATGCCCAAGTTGGCTGTTCTCCATCCCCTCGGCCCTACTGAGCTCATGTCGCACATTTTCTCTACTAGCCTGTTTCTATTCCATCATGGCAAATGTTGATATTCTTACAAGGCTTCACTTGGAGGGGCTAATGCCAGGAATTAACTACTCAGAGGGGAGATATCCAGCATTAGAGAAAATAATAGCTTAATCTACTATTACTATTTTTAAAAAAATTAAGATCCCAGACTCATAAACACAATACTAGCCCCCAAATGCACCACAGCTCAAACCATGCTTGTACACTGGCAGGTACACACACACGCATAAGCCCATCCCAGCAATCATTGACGCTTAACTCCTTTCTGCTTCCATAAACCCCTCAGGCTCTCTTGGTCCTATTGTGACTAATTTTTCACCTCGAGGATACTTCTAATGTTCATTTAAATTTACACTTGTGTGAAATCACTTCTGGGAAGGCAAGAAGGAATGCATATATAGTATGATTTTCCTGTGGCACTGTTAAATCTTATACTCTTATAAATGCATATATCCTATATCCTACTAACTGTATCCTCAAATAGGCTTTTGCTTGCCTACATGTTTAGAATATCACTTATGTCACTTGAAAGATATTTCTTGCAGAATGTTCTCAAATCAATGAAAAGTTAAAAATTCTAGACATACATTTCGAATTAGAGTTCAAATTTCACTATGTATTTCTTAAACATTTATCTATGAGTTGCAAAACACATATCATATGGAGTACAAAATTTTAAGTTTCCCATAAATTATTTGTCTTACTGTTTAAATTTCATATGATTGCAGCTAAAGTCTCTTTGGCCAAATTTAGCCTCCACATTCCCCTTCAGTTCTCTCTCTCTCCCACCTTTACCACCATCTGGCACATTTTGATATGTGCTTTTAAGCATTTTCAGCAGTCTCTTCAGGCTGACATAGATTGGGGAAGCAGGTATGCCAAAGCTAATCTGTTAATAATCAGAGAGGAATACAGACTGTGTAGGTAGGTAGATAGATTGGAGGGAGGGAGAGAAGAAGGCAGAGAAGTAGGTACTCCTAATTTGCTTGGGAGGGTAAGATAAAATGCTCTCTGAAAGTACCTGGGGGAAGCTGACTCCTTTAGGGAAACCAATCCCTTACTTTTCAGCTTACCCCCTACCCAATCAAATATAAACTTAAACTGTAGTAGGGAGTTACCTACAGATAAAAGCTTAGAATTTTAAAGCTGAAATGGTCCCTCAAGATTTACTCCAAACACCTGTTTTTTTTTTAATTGAAGAGGAAATTATAACTTGAAGAAATTATGTGCCTGGAGCAGAGCTGGGACTGAACTGCTCCTGAGAACTCACGTTAACAATAAAATATGTCTTTCTAGTGGGGGCATTTATGTTAATGAATCAGGACATTTTAAATGTCACATAATTCCTTAAAAAGTTTCATTGATTTGATTCTATTTACAGACTTTTCGTGATATTTTATGTGTCTTATCTGCAAATACTTATCAAAGGTAATTATATCATAGTTGTTTTGATTATTAAATTGCTTATTGTAATACAGTTTTTCAAATGAATGTACATTAAACTTCAGTGTTATGGTTAAGAAAGGAGACATGAGCCAAACTTAGATATTTCTCTTTTAAAAAAAGACTGAATGTTTTATTATTATGGATCTCTTACGTATTTGGACTTAACTTCTCTCTCAAACCCCAAATCCATATTAGAAGGCCTCTGTATCCTGCATAAAGTCTTTATAAAACTGAAATACCCAGTCTTTCAGTGGAACAATAAAATAGTCTCATACCTCTATATGAATCTAACATAAACTCTAAGAGGATAAGAGTGTTGTCTATATTATCCATGCTGTGTTCACTGCACAGTGCCTAGAACATAGTAGGTGTGCCATAAAAATTTAGTAAATTTTTAGACATAAATATTTAGTTTGACAGTTTTCTAGAACTAAAAATATTTATATGCTTTACACAATTTATCTTTTCTTCTATAAAATTATCCTAAGGAAATAGTCAGGAATGCTCACAGATGTACAAGGATGTTCATTTATAGTTATGAAAAATGAAATCATCTCAAAAGTTTGGCAGTGCTTATCTAAAGCATTGTAGGTGCTGCACATAGTTGGATATTTAATTGAAATTCTTTTTATTCGTTTATTCTTCCAGAGGTATAATCTCCAGCAATCAGTAAAACCTGTTTTATCTTCACAAAAAAAAGTCTTTTTGGTAAATCTTAAATAGGGTGACTATAAATCATGCCTTTCAAATTTCTGTAATTTTTAGTGATATTATCTAATATTTTTATTTTTATTTAAACTAAGTAGTTTAGAGAGAATTAAATTTTTTAAATCTAAGAGCAAATAAATGAAGTTTATGTAATCATAGTAAATGGACATTCAGTAAATAGAGAATGCTTTTGTTTTATTCCAGAAAACAGCTCCTTGAACATGGTGAGGTAAAGCTTTCATTTTAGTCTGTGCTTGATTTGTATATGAAATTCTAGTTCAAGGATAATTCAAAAAGGTATTTCCTTGCTGCTTATGCGCCATCTAGTAGTGCTTGTGTGGTTCAGCATGAGTAATAAATTTCTCTTGATCCTTCCCACCTTTTAATTTGCTCTCAGTTTTGAACAGTACTAAGGATTTGAAAGCCACAAGACTGATGTATGACCATGGAGTATAATTAAATTACCTTCATTTATTCAGCAATAACAAGAATTAGTTCCTAGCCTGCTGAGTTAATCACTACAGCCCATCAGGGCAGGTACTCATGGTCTTCTGCCACACACAGACTTGGCGGTCAATGAGTTACAAGCTTAGCATAAAATACGGTATAGCAGTGTTCCTGCCTTCAAATATGTATAATTTTTCAACAGAGACAATAAGACAGCATTTTATATGGTGCTAAATTATTCTGTGGCATACAAAGGGAAAAATCAGCATGGGCTGGAAATAAAACTTCCTAAGTAACAGAACTTTGTTCTAAAGGGAAAGGTCAAATTTACAAGAGAGGCCAACTAAATTTGAACTTAAGAATAGCTTATGATGATGACTAGTATTTGAATGGTTACTATGTGCCATGTACTGTGCTGTTTAATTCTCATAATAATAGTATTCCCATTTTTCAAATTAAAAAGTTATGTTAATTGGATTATACTAGCTGTTGGAAACACTAAAATTTCAATGATTTAACTCAGTAGAAGTTTAATTCTTTGCTTACATAAAGTTAAAACCAGGAATTCCTGATTAGCAGGTAGCTCTCCAATAAGTAGTGACTGAGGGACTGAGACCCCTGTCTATGGCTCTGCCATCTTCAAAATGTGACTTCCAGGGGTGGTGATATGCTTGTCTGCATCAAGCCAGCCATGGAGATGAACATGGGAGATCATGCACTGGATGTTCTGCACAGTCTAGGCCAGGAAAAGGTGTGCATCATTTCCTGCCCACAGCTAGAACTTGGCACATGGCTACACCTGGCTGCCAGGGAGGCTGGGAAACCATGTCTAGTGGTATGTCTAGGAAGAAGAGCAAAGGGGTGTCTGCCAAGAAATAGAAACGTAGAGAAATTAAGTAGTTTACCTGAAGTCTCACAGCTGAATTTGTAATAAAGCTTGCTTTTTGAGCACTCACTAGGAGTTCATTTCCAGTGCTTGCAAGGTAACAGCACTTACTGCTTCCTGTGTGCAAGGCATTTTTTGGGAAGTGATTTACATATATTAATAATTTCATTCTCACAACAACCCATTGATTTAAGCACTATTATTACTTATATTTTACAGATGAAAAAACTGTGGCATAGAGAGGTTAGCTAACTCCTGAGGTCACAAAGCTAAAGTGACCTTAGCTTTGTGAAGCCAGGGGACTATGAACCCAGGCAATGTAGCTGCAGAATTCATGCTGTTATCATTCATTTTACTGCCATCTAATGTCAACTGCTTTTATGTAAATCAGCCTTTTACTGATTCGTTTTACTGTTTAGTATATATTCATCATTTATATTTAATCATACTGTATTTAAATCCCACCTCTTTTTACAAACATAACATTCCTTAATTTTCTACCCTCCTTTCTCACATTATCTTGCTGCTTTTTCATTATCTTTCACTTCTCCATTTATCCTTATTTTTCCCATTTTGCTGTTTTTCTACTAATTCTGTATATTTATCAGTTCAGTCTTTATTTCGCACCTACTGTAGACCAGGTCCCTTCTTTTAGGGAATTTAACATACAGTAGAGGAAGACAAAATTTGAACAGATAATTATATGTGCAGTAACAAAGGTAGATGCAAAAGTAATGCAAAAGAAGTGATTAAATCTCTGCAGAGGGGACTCATGGGTAGATGGGAAAAGATTTTTTCAAATAACCTTAGTGGGAGAGGTAACCAAGGTCAAAGGATGTGCATGGACAAAGAAGGCAAAAGTTGTAAATTATGTTCAGAGCTGCAGAAAAATCAGTATTGCCGGTACATAAAAAAGTCAAGAAGTAGCAGAAAAAAAGATGGGAAAAGTAAACAGGGTTCAGACTATGGTGGCTTCTGAAGCAAAGAAGCTGGACTTTATTCTGGACGTTGTGGTTAGCGGGAGATGGTATCATGAACTTTGGGTATTTTAGGTCTGTTGGGAGTAAAGAGAGAGTGTTTTAAAAGGCAATTAGAAATCAAGAAGACTAATAGGAAGAGAGTGATAGGAAATATCTTTATCTTTTTCAACTATAGAGAGAATGCTGAACTCCTGATGTTATCAGCACTTTAAAGATTTAAATTTCTAAAAACAGTAGATCTTATGGAAGGAAATGCCAGCATGAAGTCCTATATCTGGCTGGCTCTTCATCCTACTCCCAATTGTGGCTCACACTTGATAAATCTCTCTCATAAGTTTTGGGATACAGGGACTCTTCACTTAGGGTTTGGAAGGCACAAACCCTGGGATGAGTACAAGTGGACTCACTCTTAGTGTGATAGCAAAAGCTTGTTTCAAGATTAGGTGAAAATTCCTTAGGATAATTTTATCACCAGGAGTGAGTTCTAAATTCCTTGCTTTGTACCAAACCTCTGAATCAGGGACAACTTGCATCCCTTAGCTCACTAAATAAACCCCTGGGTTACTTCTCTACTGTCATGATATTATTAAAGTTTGTTAGATTAAAGGATTCTGTTGTGATTTTTTTCCTCATAATTTAATATATTAATGTATTCCATCAAATTGGTTTAACCAATTTTATTTTATGTGCTTAGAAATTAGTAAAGGAGTACCTAGTTTTCAGGAAATTCACAGGAAAGAAAAGGGAAGAGAGTTAAGAACAATATTTATTGCCAGAATGTCATAGTGCCTGTGAGGAGCTAGTGTGAGGATAGCTAGGGGGAGCTAACAGTGAGAGTGTTCACTCCTAAATATTTGTGTGGCCTGCTCGTACCTCAATTTGTCCATGATCGTCATTCTTACAACAGCCTTCATTTTTTCCCCCTAATCCCTATTCTCTCATATAATTAGTTTATATTTGATCCTTTATATTTTAAGTCAGTTTGAGTTTCTGTTTTCCATTATAAACAATGTTTTTCTGTTACTTACCTTTGAAGAGTTTTCTGTGACATACAGCTGAAGGCATTTGAACCAGTTCTAGAGGCATTCTGTTGAAAGAGTGAAGCAATACAAAATTCGGGGGAAGAAATGCAGTTGACGCTTGAACAACATGGGTTTGAACTGAGAATGTTCACTTGTACCCAGATTTTTTTCAATATGGGTCGGAAAATTTTTTGGAAATTTGCAACAATTTGAAAAAAACGTTTCTCTCCTCTAGCTTTATTGTGAGAATACAGTACATAGTATATACAACATACAAAATATGTGTTAACCAACTGTTTATATTATCAGTGAGGCTTCCTGTCAACAGAAGGCTATTAGTAATTAAGCTTTTGGGAAGTCAAAAATTACCAAATTTTTAACTGCACAGAGGCATTTTGTACCATGTCCAGAACAGGTGCACCTAGCCCCTATGTCGTTCAAGGGTGAACTGTACTCCTTTTGAGAAACTGATTGTTATGTATATGCTGGGGGTTTGTACATTTCTGTGTCCACAGACTAATGCATGTATGTTGTTGAGTAAAAGACAATAGACCATTGTGTTCAATAGCTGATTGTTTGCAGAGGAAGCATAGGGTAGTGGTTAAAGAAATAGACTCAGCAGCTGGCCTGGACTCAGTCCTTGTTCTACCTCTTACTGTGTTATCTTGACTAAGTTACTTTACATCTTTTTGGGAACAATAGAAACAATTGTTACGATTTATGTGCCTCCTGGACCAAGACTTCAGGAGGCTCCAACTAATATTCTGGCCCCTGTTAACTGTGCTGGTGAGGGGCATCTCTAGCATGTTCTCAAGACATCATCACACTGTCATAGGAGATAGTTTTGACAGGAATAACCTACCGTTTGGACTGGCCTTAGACACTTAGTCCTTGTGTTCTCTCTGCTTAGTAGCTGCTGTTTCATTCTTTACCCAGTTAGGCTCATTTATTCCAAAGATGGGTAGTGAACAGTTTCCTGAGCTTCTTTTCCTTCCCTGCTTCTGGCTTCTAAAAAATATTATTAGGATTTTCCTAGTAATTTTTATGAGGAAAGAAGTACTAGTATTTTGACAATAAGGTAAATACAGTAGTGAATTTTGGACTGTAACCTTTAGTCCTCCATTTGGTGGTTAAAAAGAAAGCTATTTGATAGATTTAGGGGAGAAAATAGCTGTGGCAAGAGAGTTCCATGGCAAGGCAGGAGCCTGGGAGTAGAAGAATGGTTAGAGCATTTGAGTGAAAATAGAAAATAAACGTAAGTGGTGCCATTTGGAAGAACTATTCTATGTTACCCAGCCACAAAAAACATCATGCAGGGAAGGTCAAAATGGTGGGGATTTCCCAAACCTCCACATGAAAATAGAGCCTTATCTTTCAGCCTTTAGATGATAGAGGAAAGTCAAAAAGACTTATTACTTTGGATTTAATTTTGTTCATGTGAGAATTGTTAAAGTACAAGTGATGGGAATTAGGAGAAAAAATGGTACTATCATGTTTGTGCCTAAAAATAACCAAAGGAAGAAATACTGGGAGAAGTCAGATGTCTACTTATATTGATTAGACCTTATCTGTCATAGTCTATTTCTAAATGCCACATTTTAAGAAAAACATGGACAATTTGTAGCACTTTCCGACCATGGCAACCAGAATTGTGACAACACAGAACCCAGTGATTGAAGTTTCCTGAATATTTAGCCTAAAAAAAAGAAAGTTTTCTATGGGTAAAGGTGGATATAGTGCAAATCATAATTGTAGTATGTAAATAATAAAGAACAATCATAAACAGGTATATACTAATTTTGTGCAGTTCCAGAGGTGTGAAAGTTAGAGGGAAACATTGGTTCAGCTTTAGAAAAGATTTCCTAGCATTTACAGCTATCCATCATTATAATAGGCCCTCCTATGGCAACAATAAATATATATTCATAGATATATAGAAGAGATCCCTGTTTTGAATAGAAGATTAAAGTAGATGGCCTGTGTAATCTACTAATCTGTGATTTGTTGTACTAAATAAAAGGAATTATATAGGTATGAAATATGTTGGTGTCTTTTGTTCCCTCCACAACATGTTTGTGGTTTTGTCCAAAGACGAGTTTGACTAGAAAAAGAAATGAAGAATTGATTTTGAAATAAATGTTCCATATTCCAACTTTGGATCCAAGAATTATGTAAAAACTAATTCCATTTTTAAACATCTTTACTTAAAAAAGAGAAAAAAACAGTTTTTGGTACAGTTTTTATCATTCTGTTTTGAATATAAATAATATATTTATGATTATAAAAACAACACATTTAAAAATATTTGGAAAATGCAGAAATTCCCATTCATAAATAACCTCTTAACTTTTTAGGTATAGTTTCTTACAATCTTTTTCCTGCCATGCACATATATATACATATAGATGATTTTCACAGAATTAATATCATTCTGTATATATAGTTTTATACTCAGAAAACTTTTCCATGCCATTAAATGATTTTCCAATATGTAATCTTTTAATGGCTGTATATATGTGGAAATGAAGTAATTTACTTATTCTTCTTAGTATCTTAGGTTGTTCCTATTTTTGCTGCTAAAAATTCATCTCAGTGATCCTCTTTGTAGAAGCCTTTTTCTGTTTTGATTTTTCCTTTAAGTTAAATTTCTAGAATGGTAATTTAAGTCAAAGAGGTTGCCTCTTTTCTAGGATCTTGATAAATATTGCTAAATTACCAATTAATCGCTAAATGTACCAATTAATTATTTCAGTGTTTTTGGCATCCTAACACTATAGATTTAATATTTGTCAATGTATACCTTAAGAAATGAAAATTTCTTATTATCTTTAATATTTAATGTGTTGGAATTAGAATATGAATATATAGTTGCCCCCTTACTTTTGGTTGGATTAATTCTTTGTCTATTTTTCTAGTGAGAAGTTGGTTGATTGTTTATAAATATGGCTGTTTGAGACCTTTACTCAGTGGAACCCCATCTTAATCAAAATGGAGTATCCTACTAAGTGATACAGATATTTTTATAATTCCACTACTTTTAAGATGATTAGATTATTTTGCTACAGTTTTTTTGCTGACTAAATGACATGCAAATTTGTGAAGGCTTCCCTCCTTTCCTGTGTCTGTAGTTTACTTCCTTATCTGGTGTAGGTCCTTGCACAAACACCACCTTTTCAGTGAGGGCCACCCTGATGATCCTGCTTTACAATTAGAATGATCCCACCTCTGGCCCTAAACCCCACCCTGCACTTCCATCTCCCTCTCTGCTCCATTCTCTTTTCCATTGCACTTACACTTTCTAATAGGCTATATAATGGATTTACTAGCTATGTCTGTTTTCTGTCTCTCCTTACTAATGTATTGAAATAAAATGTAAGCCTCACAAGGCAGAAATTGCTCATTGTTGTTTCATTCATTGCTGTATCTAGAGCACCTGGAACAGTAACTGGCATATAGTAGGCATTCACAGTTGAATGAATGAATGAATATTACTGGACTTATACTAACTGAAAAGACCCTTGTTGTAATGAATAATAATAATTTTAATATACTTTAAATTTATTAATTAAAAAATATATGAAATGAAAATGTCATTTTGTTTTGTGTTTTTGTAGCTAATTTTTCACACTTTGCAGTTGTTAGCATTTACTGCCCTTGCCATTTTAATTATGAGGCTGAAGCTGTTTTTGACACCTCACATGTGTGTTATGGCTTCCTTGATATGTTCTCAACGGGTAAAGTATTCATTCTTGTATACTTACACTATAACTATAGCCACAGCAGTGTAGTAACTTTGCTGAGTTATCCAAAACATAAAAACGTTTAGGTGTTTTTATCCTAAATGATTTAAAATGTCAGTTCATGATTCACCATAGAATAAGAAAAGCAACTTCAAATAGCTTTGGAAATTATTCCTAGATTTTAACTGGTATTTCTGTGACAAGTGATAAGGGACTGTTAGTCCCCTCTGTTAATATCCTATCCACATACAGTTTTTTGGAGTTCAGGCCTCTGTAAGAGTTTCTTAGCTCATCAAAAATATCTCAAGTACTCTTCTAATACTAGAGTAGGTACTGGGTAATTGCTTTGGTGTATTGTCCTATTTTGCTTAGACACTCCAGATGAAAAGTTGACAATTCTGGGGTTCTGTTACTGTATCTTATATATAAAAGAGCCAGACAAAATAGCTAGAATATTGGGACCAGGGTACTTCTAGAAATACTTTATTTAGTTTTGATTATGAGTCTTATCTTAGAATATCATGCTTATTTTCCTGAGAGGATTACATGTGTCAGTATTAATGGGGTTTCCCTTCTTATTCAAGATATCCATCAAAGGCAGCCAGATGTTACAATATTTAATTCTAGAATGTTTCAAAATTGTGATCTGCTAATCTTAATAATCCCTGGTAGTAAATAGTACTAGAAGGATCAAGTGTTTCTTCCTTAATTCTTTCAAGGGAAAAGAAATTTCCATTTTTAATTGAGCCCTGTAATTTGCTGTTTTGGAACAATAAGTGATGAGTATTCTGTATATTATTAGTATACTGATAGTATCAAATGGTAATCCACCTTAGTTTAATACCATGGAAGGCTTAATACCATGGTTAGAATTTATTATTGACCCTATAGCACTCTTCATATAAGAATTATAAATAAACGGTTTCTTTCTTTTCAGCTCTTTGGCTGGCTTTTTTGCAGAGTCCGTTTTGAGACTGTTATCTTTGCCATTCTAACATTGATGTCAATACAAGGTTTTTCAAACCTCCATAATCAATGGAGCATAACAGGAGAATTTAATAATTTGCCTCAGGAAGAACTGCTACAATGGATCAAATATAATACCAGACCAGGTAAGTAGCTGTATCTTATGTATATACACGTTTTGAAAAATATTCACACACACATTCACACCCTCACAGATTTTGAGCATGATAATTGCAATTAAACCAAATTGAATCTTTTCAGAAAACAATTTTGTGCCTTCTTTAAATCCTTCCTAGGTAACTGTTAAAAAGAATTTTAATAGTCTACAGGCACACACCTGATCATCTACATTTGCTCTCTTACAACACTAAACTATGTTTTCTACCTTTATCTTGTATCTACCTACCACTTCAGCATTTTATTAAAAATAATAATAATAAAGAGAGAAATGTGGTATCCACATATAAATCAAGTATAAAAATCAAATGAATATTCATATTTGAACTGACTGTTTATAGTTCATAATGCATGAGCAAAACCGAAAGCTTCTGTGATGACTGCCCTTGTAATGTTCACTATGTAACTTATTCACTATGTAAGAATTTGTACTCCATGTAAGAACTTGTTCGTTATGCTTCAGAAGATTAGAAACTGACGAAAATTAGGCTTGGGGTGGATTAAGGATTGTGCATTGAGCATTGACCCTCCTATACAGAATTTTATTGTTGTTAACAACCATTTGATCAATAAATATGAGAGATGCCCTCACACACACACACACAAAATATATATATATATATTATATATATACACACTTCCAATTGTAAAATAAATAAGTAACTGGGATGTAACGTATAGCATAAGGAATATAGTCAAAATATTGTAACAACTTGGTATGGTGATAGCTGGTACCTAGAATTATCATGTATATAAATGTTCAATCACTTGTGTTGTACACCTGAAACTAATGTAATACTGTGTGTCTACTACCCTTCAATAAAAATAATTATCTAAAAAAAAAAAAGAATTTTAATTAACATCAGGAGTTAACCACTGTTCACAGTTATATGCTGTCACTCTGAAATCATTATTGTATTTTAATTCTAACAATGGCAAATCAAAGAAATCTTTAATAACAAAATTTCACACCTTGTGAAAGACCACTGGAGAAGATAATTTTGACCATGGAGTGGTCAAGATCACTCCTATAACTTAAGTTTGTGCTTTCTGCTCCAACTCTGTAAAACCAGTCGCACACAGAAGAGTTAAAATCTTGGATATTTTGTTTTCTTCACTAAATCATTTCAAAGAGATGAGGATACATCCTACTTTAAATACTGCAAAAAAATACTATTTTTAGCTTACCTTTTTTGCTTCCTATTGTTACCCAAAACCACTTCAAGTAGGTATTTCAACTATAAATACTTTTCCAGAGAATAAGCATATTCTACAGGATTTTTTGTAAGTAATCTATAATCTTGTCCAAGACTATTTTGGTATTTAGTAATTTTATCTGGCACAAGCTCTTCCCCATGGTTAATTTAAATTTATCCTACAGTGGCATGAAATATTTAATGTATTGAAACAAAAGGACCTTAAACCAAGAATATTCTATCCAGGAAGGTTATCATTCAAAATTGAAGGAGAGATTAAAAGTTTCCAGATAAACAAAATTTAAGAGTTCATCACCACTAAACCAGCCTTACAGGATATGTTAAAGGGACTTCTGTTGATGGAAATGTTCTTAAGCCTAAATGTTTTTCACCTGTGACACTAAACTCACAGTAAAGGTAATAGACCACTTACCAAGAAAGTATAAAGCTAAAAACAAAGCAAAAGTAATAAAATCAACTATACATAACACCCAAGGATACACAAAAAAATGCAGATTATGACACCTGATAGATAAAGTGTGGAGAAGGAAGAAGAATAAAAAAGAAGTACTTTGAGATTGTGTTTGGAATAGAGTCACCATCAACTTAGTATAGCCTTGTATATATTCGGGTAAACATGAATCTTATGGTGTCCACAAACCTAAAGCCTGTAATAGATACACAAAAATTTTTTAAGAAGATCGAATCACAACACTAAAGGAAACAATCAAATAATAAGAGAAGAGCATAAGAGAGGAAGAAAGGAACAGAGAGGAACTACAACAATCAGGAAACAATTAATAAAATGGCAGTAACTACTTACCTATCAATAACTACCTTAAATGTAAATGGACTGAATGCAGCAAACAAAAGACATAGGGTGGCAGATGGACAAAGAAACAAGACCCATCTATATGCTGCCTACAAGAGACTCATCTCAGGTCCAAAGACATAACACAGACTAAAAGTGAAGGGATGAAAAATGTATTTCATGCAAATAATAGAAAAAAGCAGAAGTAACAGTACTTATCAGATAAATTAGACTTCAAAACAAAGAAAGTAACAGAAAAAGGACATAATGATAAAGGGGATCAGTCCGACAAGAGGATATAACCATTGTAAATGTCTGTGCACCCAACATAGGAGCAACTAAGTATGTAAAAAAAGTACTAACATAACTAAAAGGGGAAAATAGACTGCAATTCATTCATTTTAGGAAAGTTTAACACACCACTCATGTGAATAGACAGATCAACCAGACAGAAAATAAATAAGGAAACAAAGGTGCCGAACACACACATTAGATCAAGATTTAACAGATATCTATAGACCATTCTAATCAAAAGCATCAGGATACACATTTTTTTCTCAAGTGTACATGGAATGTTCTCCAGAACAGATCACATACTGGGCCATAAAAAGAGCCTCAATAAATTCACAGAGATTGAAATTGTATCAAGCAACTTCTCAGACCACAAGGGTATGAAACTAGAAATAAACTAAATATAGAAAACAACAACAAAAAACCCACCAACACATGGAGGTTAAACATGCTTCTAAATAATAAATGGATCAATGAACAAATAGACATCAAGCAATGCATGGAGACAAATGTGAACAAAAATACAATAGTTCAAGATTTGAGGGATACTGAAAAGTATTTCTGAGGGAAGTGCATAGCAGTACAGGCTTACCTCAAGAAACAAGCACAATCCCAAATAAACAGTCTAAACTCACAACTAAAGACACTAGAAAAAGAAGAACAAATGAAACCCAAAGTTAATAGAGGGAGGGACATAATAAGATCAGAAATAAAATAGAAAATAAAACAATAGAAAAAAAATCAATGAAATCAAGACTCGTTATTTGAGAAGATAAATAAAATAGACAAACTCCTAGCCAGACTTCTCAAGAAAATAAAGAGTACACAAAAAAACAAAATCAGAAATAAAAGGAATAGTTATAGCTGACACCACAGAAATACAAAGAATTATTAGAGAATTCTGTGAAAAACTAAATGTCAACAAATGGGAAAACCCAGAAGTGGACAAGCTCCTACAAAAGGACAACCTTCTAACATTGACCCAGGAAGAAGCAGAAAATCTAAACAGACCAACTACCAATAATGAAATTGAACTGGTAGTCAAAAACTCCCAACAAACAGAATTCCAGGGATAGGTGTTTTCACAGCTGAATTCTGCCAAACATTTAAAGAAGAGCTAATATCCATCCTTCTCAAAGCATTCCAAAAAGTAGAGGAAGGAATATTCCCAAACTCATTCTATGAAGCAAATATAACTGTAATACCAAAATCAGACAAAGATGCTACAAAAAGAAAATTACAGACCAATATCCCTGATGAACAAAGATGTAAAAATCCTCAACAGAATTATTAGCAAACCAAATTAAAAAATGCACCAAAAGGATTGTCCATCATGACCAAGTGGGATTTGTTCCAGGGATGCATGGATGGTACAATATTCATAAATCAGTCTTCATTATATACCACATTAACAAAAAGAAGGATAAAAACCACATGATCATCTGAATAAATGCTGAAAAAACTTTTTGACAAAATTCATCATCCATTCATGATAGAAACTCTCAACTAAATAGGTATAGAGGGAACATACTTCAACATAATAAAGGCCATATACAACAAACCCACAGCTAATATCATACCCAATGGCAAAAAAAACTGAAAGCTTTTCCTCCAAGATTAGGAGCAAGACAACGATGTCCATTCTCAGCACTTTTATTCAACATAGTACTAGAAATCCTAGCCATGGCACTTAGGCAAGATAAAGAGATCTTTATCTTGCCTAAGATAAAAGGCATCTGAATTGTCAAGGTAGAAATAAAACTGTCACTATTTCCAGATGACATGATAATATATATAGAAAACCCTGCAGACTCCACCAAAAAACTATTAGAACTAATAACTGGATTCAGCAAAGTTGCAGGATACAAAACTAATACACAGAAATCTGTTGCTTTCCTGTATACTAATAATGAATGCAGAAAGAGAAATTAGGAAAACAATTCATTTACAAATTACATCAAAAAGAATAAAATACCTAGGAATAAATCTGAGGAGGTAAAAGACCTATATTCTGAAAACTATAGGACACTCATGAGAGAAATAAAGACACAAATAAATGGAAAGATATCCTGTGCTCATGGATAAAAAGAATGAATATTGTCAAAATGGCCATCATGCCCAAAGCAATTTACAGATTCAATGCAATCCCTATCAAAATACCAACAGCATTTTTCAATGAGCTAAAACAAATAGTTCTAAAATTCATATGGAACCACAAAGGACCCTGAATAGCCAAAGCAATCTTGAGAAAAAAGAGCAAATCTGGGGGACTACACTCCTTGATTTCAAGTTATACTACAAAGCTACAGTAATCAAAACAGTATGGTACTGGCATAAGAACAGACCCATAGATTGATGGAACAGAGTAGAGAGCCCAGATGTAAACCCATACATATATGGTCAATTAATATATGGCAAAGGAACCATGAATAAACAATGGGGAAAAGACAACCTCTTCAATAACTGCAGTTGGGAAAACTGGAGAGCTACATGCAAGAGAATGAAACTGGATTACTATCTAGATTATTATCTAACTCCATACACAAAAGTAAACTTGAAATGGATCAAAGACCTAAATGTAAAACATGAGACCATTAAACTCTTAGAAGAAAACATGTCAGCCTCCTCCCTATCTCCGACCTGCAGATTAAGGAGGCGACGCGATGAGATATCGAAGACCTGAATGGACCAGCCAGGGGACTCAAGGCATAACAGCTCAAGAGCAATGCTGAGAAGGCACTCCTCATATTTATTGAGCAAGTGAATATCTGAACAATTCTGAGTAGGGGTTTTAGCACATGATCATCATCTATCTTTGAGTCCCACCCAAGGGCGGGACACTCCTTAAGGATACCGAAACCATGTGAGGGCAGTCACGAGCTGTAGGAACTTTCTATGGCTTTAATCACTCTATCCTTGACCAAACATCAGAGGTCATAGGAGAGACAATCAAGTCACAAATCTTCATACATTTGATTTCTATGTTACTTGATTTATATATTAAGCCCATTAATCCCACAAAAACATAGGCAAAAATCTCTTGAACATAAGCATGAGTAATTTGTTCCTGGACACATCTCCTTGGTCAAGGAAAACAAAATAAAAAATGGGGAAGTAGGACTGTGTCAAACTAAAAAGTTTCTGTAAAGCAAAGGATACCATCAGAATGAAATGGCATCCTACAGTATTAGAGAATATATTCATAAATTATTTATCCAATAAGGAGTTATTTATCCAATATATATTATTTATCCAATAAGGAGTTAACATCCAAAATATATAAAGAACGCATATGCCTCAACACCAAAAAAAACAAATAATCAGATTGAAAAATGGTTGGAGGACCTAAACAAACGTTTCTTCAAAGAAGTGCAGGTGACCAACAGGCACATGAAAATATGCTGAATATCGCTAACCATCAAGGGAAATGCTAATCAAAACCACAATGAGATATCACCTCACACCAGTTAAAATGGCTACTATCCAAAAGACAAGAAATAACAAGTATTGGCAAGGATGTGGAGAAAAGGGAACTCCTCTTGTGCACTGTTGGTGGGAATGACGATTGGTGCAGCCACTATGGAAAGCAGTATGGAGGTTCCTCAAAAAGTTAAAGAAATACCATACATTGCAGTATAATACTACTACTAGGAGTTTACCCAAAGAAAACAAAATTCCTGATTTGAAAATATATATGCACTCCTATGTTTATCACTGCATTATTTACAGTAGCCAAGATATGAATGCAACCAAAGTGTCCATTGATAGATGAATGGATAAAGAAGAGGTGGTACGTATGCACAATAGAATATTATTCAACCATAGAAAAGAAAGAAATCCTGCCATTTGCAGCATCATGGATGGGCCCAGACAGTATTATGCTAAATAAAATAGGCCATGCAAAGAATGGCAAATACCATACAATTTCACTTATTTGTGGAATCTAAAAACAAAACCAAACAAAATGAACAAAATAGCGGTAGACTCATAAATACTCAGAAGTGACTTGTGGTTGCTCATGGTGGAGAGGTTGGGGTCGGGGTGGGTGGGGAACATGAGGGGGATGAAGGAGCACAAAAATTCTTATATGTAAGTTTGTCACAGGGATGTTAATATAGCATGGAGAATATAGCCAATGATTCTGTAACATCTTTGTATCTTGACAGATAGTAACTGTATTGACTCGGGTGAGGATTTAATAGCCACAGTGTTGTATACTTGAAACCAATATAAGACTGTATATCAACTATACCTCAATAAAAAAAGAAAGAAATTTCTCCTATGATTCCTTGAATCAGTTTTCTCTTATCTCTTATTTGAAAGTCACTATTTTACTATTTAGCCATCATTAAGGTAAACTTATATAAGCTTCAACTCAGATATTTGGTCTGTGACTTTCAGAGGTGACAGTGCCTCATCACTTAGAACTGCCAGGCCAGTTTAATCAAAAGGTTTTAGTTAAGCTTATACTGAATTTCTTCCTGTAGGAAAGACTACAAGGTAGGCACTCCCTTTACTCTCACTTGCCCCTCCCCAGTTACAGCTGTTTAACCCAAGCTTTAAAATCTTCTTTTGTGCCTTTCTTCATACCAGTGTTTATCTTGATTCCTGGCAGAGATTGCCTATGTTTGGTTACTTGTCCTTCTAAGATAACTCCTACCTCATTCTTAGGCACCTCTTTGATCTAATAAATCTTTTTCATCCCTGTATTATGAGTTATCTCATGATTACCACATGTTTATTAAAAGCATGAAGTTCTGTAGTATGGGTGGGCTTAATGCTTATGTTCAGGTCCACCATGTAGGGTTGTTAGTTTGTGTACTGCACAAAGGTGCTCAATTGACAAGACAAGTGGGAACTGAAATCCAGCCTATGAACCACTCATCAAGTCATACATTACTGAAGCTTTGTCAGCTAGGAAGGGCTGCTTTTTTCCAACACATGCAGTGGAGTGCATGTGGAGACTTCAGTAGAGACTTAGTGGAGACTTCAGTATATTTATAGGAAAATATCTTATTTTTTCCTGATGTGTTCATATTTACCTCACTGACAAGAGGAAAGAGAGTGAAGAGTATTCACCACCTCTTTCTGCCATAGATGGTTTCTCTTCAGTGGTTCCAGCTCTTTCTGGACAGGCCTACCTACTTCCTTCTTGATGACCATGGCACTGGGCTTTGGGTTTCTTAACCTTGGCAGTTTTAACATTAGGGGCTGTCCTGTGCACTGCAGAATGTTGAGCGCCATACCTGCCCACTACCACCAGGTGCCAGTAGAACCTTTCCCCACAGTGTGCCAACCAAATGTCTCCAGAAGTTGACGATATCCCTAGGAAACGAAATCACTCCTGATTGAGAACCACTGCTCTAGCCTAAGAGCTCTTCATCATTTATTATAAAATCTTGCAATAATAAATATACATTTCTTCAATTGACTTACATATTTTCAAATTTAAGGCATATAGAGAGATTTTCATTTGGAGTTATATTTAGCATGCTTAGTTATGTTTGAGAGTAAACATTCAAGTTATTTACAATAGTGTGGGTAAAATTGTAGTACTTCCAGAATATCTCACCTGGCTTTTAGTACATCTGCATATCAATAGGTGTTCAGAAGTGGAAAGAAGTATGGCTTTAGTACATTTGCATCATTCTTCAGGGGAGGAGAGAAGTTCATCTCCATATCAATGGGTAATTACCTGGGCAATAGAGGGCTTACCTGTACCTGAGAGGTGAGAGGGAAGGCCAGTTTTGCTTCTTTTGAAGCAGAGGACCGAGATGGCCCTGGACTGCAGTTTGTGAGCAATAAACAGATTTTAAACTTTATTTCTCCCTTTGACTGATTTCAGTTTTTAGAGGTATTTTGCCCCATGATTTCCTCTCCCCGGACTTATACGTAGATCTGAATAATATGCTTTGTTCTTATTAGTGATTTATTGTGTTGGTTAAAAATAATAATATCCTTCATAGTTATATAATCATTTATTACACAAAAGTGCTAGGAGGTGAGCATTTGGTCTTCTTGTCTTCCAAGAAACTACAGTTTACAACCCATAGTTTCTCAGTTCCTAGCATTTTAAATTATTGGAACAAGATGAACTTTTACAGTTCTTTCTTGCCCCATGTGTCTTTGAGTACTGTCTCTTTGCACAGTGCTTAAACGTGGCAAAAAGCTGTAGTGAAGTGGTTCAGAGGGTGGGTCTGGTTTTTCCTAGCTGTGTGGTCTTGGGCAAGTCACTAACTTTGCTGTGTCTCAACTTTCTCATCTACAAAATAATAACACAGAACCCACCTCATATAATTCTGCAAATTACATTTTTTAATCCTACTAAAAATATTTAGCACTATTCTTGTTACCAAGACAACATTTCACAAAAGTTGGCTATTTAGTGTGGTAGACAGTCAATAAATACTGAGTGAAGAAAATGAATGATGCCAATTATTATTTAAGTGTACTTCATCTTTCTTAATTTGGGTTCAAATATTATAGATAAGTAGCTTTTGGTTTTCTTTAAAACGTGATTAAGAAATATAATCTTACTTTTCAGATGCTGTTTTTGCGGGTGCTATGCCTACAATGGCAAGTATCAAGCTGTCCACTCTTCACCCTATTGTGAATCACCCACATTATGAGGATGCAGGCTTGAGGTTGGCAACTGATTGAATATTTCAACCTGACATACTTAAAATTTCTACTGATTCTTAGGACTAGGGAAAAGTTTACACACATGCACATCCAGCTCTCATCCTCATATTCATGCTGGAAATTTTAAAAATGTAATAACCATCCAGAAATTATAGTATGTATCTGTTGACTTTAAAGCAAGCCTAATAAACCTTTCAAAACTGAGTAAAAACAAAAGCCAGTTTTTCTCAAAGTGAAAAATGTGTTACATATTTATGACTAGCTTATGTGTGTGTATATATGTATGTGTTCATTCCAGTAAAACAATAAGCAATAGTAATAGGAGGTGGGATGGATTTGGCCTATGGCCATAAGTTGCCAACCCCTGCTGTAGACCTCAGAAGTCCCTCTGTCTGATTTAAGAAACCATTGTCAGTCTTCCTGGTGGTCAGTGACTAGACTTTTATAACAGAAGAAAAAGTACATGAAATTTGTTATATTACATACTCTTATGAAAATATAGGCTGTCTCTTGCTAGCTGGTTATGAGAACTCTAGTTTCCGTTGAGGTCTGAAAGTTCTGTTTTTCTAAATGACTGACTTGAAGAAATTATTTTAGTCATTCTAGTAATTGTCGGTAATTTTTTCCTTTTAATGCATATTTGACCTATTGTTAGAGGTAAAATTTTAATATTTTAAGTTTTATGTCTGGTTGTGGTGATTGGGCATTCCATTTGCTTGAAATCCTAAGAAATGTCTAATGCATGAATGGTAATTTGTTCAAGATTTCATAAAAACTCTGTTGTACCGTATTTTGGTGAACATATGTTTCTCAAGCTTCTTCTAAGATACCTTTTCTATTTGACTGCTACCCACTTTCTGAAGGTTCTATTTGCTACATTTCAGCTTCAACTCTTTCAGAGCTTCTCTAGATGAAATTATCTACTAAAATCTGTGTTTTCACTGTATTCAGCTCCTATCTGTGTTTTATGAGTGGATTATTTTATGAATTGTGCAAAGCAAATTTTACATTCCTAAGTATTATTCGGTTATCCAACTCTAAACTGGTTTGTGCACTAACAAGCAGTACATGTAGAATTCAAACTGCTCTAAGTTTTAATGCATGCAAAATATAAGTAAGTATGTGGAAACTGCTACCCCCAAAAGAATTCATGCTGGTTGGGGTCATAGATATAAATGTTCCATCTGATTGAACATTGAGATTTTAATTTACTAGTAAAATTTCTTTTAGTCCATTCTATTATCATTAGAAATGTTTTAACTTGTTGTTTGAATTTAAAGGGCCCGGACAAAAATAGTTTATTCCACATATAGTCGAAAATCCGCAAGAGAAGTGAGAGATAAACTGTTGGAGTTACATGTGAATTACTATGTTTTAGAAGAAGCATGGTGTGTTGTGAGAACTAGGTAAGTATGAGCCCTATGCTATATGATATGGTATTTATATAATACCATATTTTTAAGCACCAACTGTTTTACTTTATTATAGCAGTTCTGATTAAGAATTTATATTCTAAATAAATTCTGTTAAAATATTAAAATTACCCTGCTATTTTATTTAAAATTATTTCATGTAGGAAAGTAAAATTATGCTAACATTTAAGTAGAATCTAATTTCAAAAAATTATAGTGTATTTTAGTTTCCTGATTTAAATGTAGCTTTTTTCCATAATTTTTCAATTTTTTAAATAATTTCTTTAGATGTGTGAAATACAGATATGAACTTACAGCGTAGTGAGATATTAGCACTCTGCTATTACAGCTGAATTACGTTGGATTTTTAAGAGAAAGTTTCACATAACTCAAAGGACATAAAAAAATTAATGTTCCTAATAAAAATTTTTAATTTCTGAATTTTAAGTCTCTAAAAATCATAAAATTCTAAGATGTTCAGTGGATATCTTGAGACTTTTTTTTGTTAACTGCTTGATTTAAGAGGTCCTTGGTTGTATTAAGTTTAACATTAAGAATTTTCAGAGTCCAGAGTGCTGACCATTGCACGACAGGAAGAATTTTCATTTCTCCTGTGGATAATTAGGCTGTAACACATTTTTGAAAAGTTTTCAGAAATTTTAGTAACTAATTTTTATATCTAATTTTAATATCTGATAAATAATAGGAAGAAATGTCATCTTCTAAAGAAAAACAGGAACATCATAATGTATATACATATCATGTTAATTTTAATCTAAAATTTAATAAGACAAAGTAGAGGACAAAACAGGGCATATTACTGCAGCTAAAGATGGACATTTTATAAAAACAAAAGGATTAATTCACCAAAAATACATAACAAGTCTAAATGTGTATATACATCTAAACAGAGCTTCAAAGTACACAAAGTAAATGTGCATACTAAAAGAAAAAACAAACAGATCTTCATAGTTGGAAATGTTAACATTCTTTTCTCTATGGAGAAAAGTAGATAAAAAGTAAGGATTTAAAAGATACTAAAAGTAAACAATATCAAATAACCTGACCTAATGACATTTAGAGAACAGTGAAGGAAACAACATTCTTTTAAAGAGCACCTGGAATGTTCATCAGGAGAGAGCATATTTTGAGCCATAAAAATTATCTCAATGTGTTTAAAAGGTTTGAAATCACACAGAATTATGTTAAGAATCAGTTTTAAATACAAATCTAGTAAATCCACACATATTTGGAATATAGGCAATAAATTTACAGATAGCTTATGAGTTACAGAAACAAATTACAAAATAAATTTTAAAAATAATATTTTTTACTTGAATAGAAAAGGGGTCTTTTCAACAGTGTTTTTGCTATAACTGGATATCTGTATAGAAGACCAGTTGAACCATGATCCATACTATACCATCCACAAAAACTAGCCTGACATGGATTGCAGAACTAATTGTAAAATCCAAAGTTGTAAAGATTTCTTAGAACACAGAATACCAACCATAAAAAACAAATCAATAAGTTGTATCAGTGGGAATGTAAATTAGTTCAACCATTGTGGAAAGCAGTATGGAAGTTCCTCAAAAAACTAAAAGAAATACCATTTGACCCAGGAATTCCACTCCTAGGGTAACTAAGAATGCAGGAGCCTAATTTCAAAAAGATATAATGCACCCCTATGTTTATCACAGCACTATTTATAATAGCCAAGAAATGGAAACAACCTAAGTGTCCATCAGTAGATAAATGGATAAAGAAGATGTGGCACATATACACAATGGAATATTATTCAGCCATAAGAAGAAAACAGATCCTACCATTTGCAGCAACATGGATGGAGCTAAGAGGGTATTATGCTCAGTGACATAAGCCAGGCGGAGACAGACAAGTACCAAACGATTTCACTCCTCTGTGGAGTATAGAACAAAGCAAAAACTGAAGGACTCACAGAACCCAAGAATGGACTAACAGTTACCAAAGGGAAAGGGACTGGGGAGGAAAGGTGGGAAGGGAGGGAAAAGGGGAATAAGGGTCATTACAATTAACACACATAATGTATGGGGAGGGGGGGCACAGGGAAGGCAGTATAGCACAGAGAGGACAAGTAGTGATTCTATAGCATCTTACTATGCTGATGGACAGTGACTGTGATGGGGACTTGACAATGGGGGGGAATCTAGTAACCACAGTGTTGCTCATGTAATTGTATATTAATGATATCAAAATAAATGAATTGTATCAAAACTGAAATCTTTTCCTCAAGAGATAGTGTCAAGAAAATGAAAAGGCATGCCACAGAATAGAAGAAAATATTTGCAAAGCATGTATCTGATAAAGGACTTATGTATACAGTTTATATAAAGAAATTTTAAAAATTAATAATAAAATGACAAAACTGAAAATGGGCAAAAGTCTTGGATAGAATAAAGAAAATGTGTGAATGACCAGTAAATCCATGAAAAGATGCCCAATGCTGTCAGTGTTCAGAGATATGCAAATAGAAGAAAGAAGGAAAAAAGGCAAGCCTAAATCAAGTCGTATCTGTAATTGCAAAAGTGAATGGGGACTAAACATTCCAGGCAAAAGGCATTGACAGACTGAGTACAGAAACAAAACCCAGCTATGTGCTGCTATACTATAAGAGATGGATTTTAAATATAGACATATGTATAGATTGAAGGAAAAGAATACAGTTATTACATGTGAGTAACATATGAAAGCCACAGTAGATATAAATATCTAGAATATTCTAGAAAATGCAAAACTATAGGCAGAAAAGAGATCAGTAGTCGCCTGGGCTAGTTTGGGGAGGGGATTAACTGCAAAAGAGTACAAGGGAACCTGTTTCTGTGATGGAAATTTTCTGTCTTATGATTATGGTGTTGCTTAAACACCTATACACATTTGCCCATATTTATCAAACTTTACACATAAAATGGGTGAATTATATTGTACACAAATTATACCTCATATGCTGTTACAAAAATAGAGATCAATTTTGCCTGATTTCTTCCCTTTAATGACTCTCATGCATGGTTATTCTCTAGCGAGAAATACTGTCTCACTCAGTCCACTTGTAAAGCCACCCAGCATGGGAAGGGGTTCAGGCAAACTTGGCATAAGAGCTTCCCTTCCCTGCCTTGGACTATATGTTTTCATGCTCATCCAAGTCAATTTAAGCAGAAGTATGAAATTCATCAGGAACTAGATTAGCTTTTCCTTTGTCTTATGCTAATAAGGCACCTTCCATTTGGGTGGTGACATCACTTAGAAAATTATTTCTATTTGGATTTTTAAATGTATATTAATGTGTATTGAACCTTTATTATTAGTAATTTGATTAAGTGGATCATAAAAATGCAGCATGTTTAATTTCATTTTTTATTATCTCTAATTGTTGATCTTATGTTTTTTGAAGTGATGCTTAAATTTTTTAATTTATTAAATAAATTTGTCTCTAAAAACCTAAAAGTTATTTTACAATTTATATATTTCTTCTAGATATGGATGCATTTTTAATGTGGATATGCATGTGCCTTTTTTCCCAGGCCTGGTTGTAGTATGCTTGAAATTTGGGATGCGGAAGATCCTTCCAACACAGCCCAACCTCCGTTATGCAGCATCTTGCTCAAGGATGCCAGGCCTTACTTCACCAAAGTATTTCAGAATAGTATATACAGAGTATTAAAAGTTAACTGAGAACGAGGCTGTCTATTACACTGTGATGCAAAGAAGTGAGTTAAAAACAATCATTTTGGCTTATTTTCATTAATAAAAATCACAAACTTTAATAAGGGAGCCCTAAAAGGAGATAATAAAAATGATTTACTTTTTCTCATTACTAAAAGGTAAATTATTTCATTCTTTTCTATTGAATGTCAGCTTTATTAAGCTTGTCATTTAAATGGTTAAATAATTTCATACTGCATAAACAAATGTTCATCTTAGAATTTTAAAGAAAAATATATGTAAAAGAACAATAAAATCAAGGATATGTGAGTCCTTTTGTTTCCAACTAAGTGAATTGTTTTAGATTTTCCCTGGTACCAGGATATATCAGCTCAAACTCTTTAAAGCACTTAGAATAGACTAATGCAGTTTCTGAAATGACACTTCCGTAAGATCCTGATACTGACCACACTTCTTTACCTCTGTGAGGAAATTTGTTTGTAACCATGTGTCTATTAAGGTTGTTTCTGCTTTTTTTTGTTTTTTAAGGAAAGATCTTTAATAGCTTTTAATAACTTTTTTCTTTAAGTATTTCAACTTAAGTATTTTTAAAAACAGCTTATTTTGTAATGTTTTAAATCTCTTGAAATTTATTTACCCAACCAGGTAAGTATTTTCCACTGGTTAGTTCTCAACCGAAGTTCCCAACAAGTTGTTAATCTGTCTTTGTAGTCCAGTGGTTTCTCTGTAAATATCCAGGTAAAATAAAATTGCTGTGGCATGCAACCAAATTTGAGAGTTAAACATTATCAGAAAAGAAGTTCCAGTTAAGTTTATCAAATGAGATTCTAAGATTCTGTATCTTGAATGATGCAAAGGCATATTTATCTTGATAACCCTGTAGCTCATTGAACTAGTCTTTCTTTCCTATCACCATCTTTTGTAATAATACATTTTTAAGTCCTCATTAATTTTTGGTTTTTGATGAGGAAGGTGATGTTTAATAAATCTCACTCAATATAAAACCTACCCAACAATAATACTTTGAAAAGTGGTAGTTATCTTGAAGGTACCATTGCCAAATGCAAAGATAAACATTCTCTTTGTCTACCTGATAGACATTAAATAGGTCACATCTGTAATATTTAATTTTGTATCAACTTTAATCATATTGAGAGTCTTTATAATTCCCTTATGTTCTTGCCCTCTGCATTTGAGGTAACAAAATGACTTAATTCCATAAATTAGTTCACATATAGTACATAGGAGATTATACACAGGATTATAATTATTTTTCAACTTTTATATTTGTAAAATATTTTAATACAAGATACAAAACAGCTGATAAAGCATGCCACATTTCATTTATATCTGCATTTTCAAATAATTTATTTGGTGTAGGTACAGGGAAAGAAGGAAAGGAAACAACACCTAACATTCATAAAAATTAAAATATATTTTGGATGATGTTTCATAGAAAATATTTTAAAGAAGTTGATAGAATTTTTTTGAAAAGAAGAGCTGTATTAGTTAATAAAATATTCAATACAAATACATTTATAGGGATTTATATATATATATAAACCAATAAAATTATTTTCAACTTTTGTAGTTGTAAAATATTTTAATACAGGAAGGATACAAAGCATCTAAGAAAGCATGGCACATTTTAATTATTTTAGCATTTTCAAATAATTTGTTTTGGTGTGTGGGGAAAAGGAAGAAAAGAGATATAACACAACATTCACAAAAGTAGAGTAACACATTTTGGAGGTGTTTTCATAAGAAACATTTTTTAAAGAAGTTGGCAGAGTTCAACAAAAAAAAAAAGAAGAGTTGTATTAATTAATAAAATGTTCCACAAATATAATGTATTAATGTGGATTTATGTTATTTCCATGTGCTATGGATGCTGAAAAATTAAAGAAGCTCGAAGATGCTCTGTGTGTTTTCTATCTTCCCTCATCCTTTATCAAACATACATTTTGAAATTGAATCAGTTCTGATATGAAGGTAGAAATCATAGGTTTTGGATTTATTAACCATGTTTACATTGGCAATAACCTTTCTTAGCCATTTTAAAACAATTATGCTAATCTCACACAGAAGGCACTATACAGTGATGGAAAAAGCATGGGCTTTGTAACCAGATGGGTCTAAATTTAAATGCTGGCACTTCCATTTACCATGCATTCAAAAGATATTTATTGAGCACTTATATGCTAGGCACTGTGTTAAGCTTGGTTGTGTTACTTGACTCCCATGAGCTTCAGTTTCTTCACCTGTAAATCAGAATTCACACTACCTCCTTGTAGGGTCATTATGAGGATTAGTAAAATAGTGAGTAAAAACACAGCATATATAGGCACTCAGCAAATGTTAGTTCCATTTGCTCCCTCTCTCCAGCCCACTTAATAACCAGTTCAGTAATATCACATTACCTGGTAGGTTATCTCACCTCAGAATTCCAAATAGTCTACCTTTTTTGTGTATCAGTAAATAGAAAGCTGGACTACAGCTTTCTTGTATGCAAATAATGCTATTGGCTTCTTGTTTGCATATATTATATTGTTTTTTCTTTTGAAATGTGAAGACTATGCATGAGCACTGTGAGTTGAGTGATGGGCAGATTTTTCCCAAGTGCAGTGAAGTGTTCTCCTTAGTTTCCTATGATCATTTTTTTGCACATTTGTTTGAAACCATGACTAGAAGTGAGTCTCACACAGGCTACAATCTGCTTCATCATCCAGTTGTCAGAAGCTAATGTACTGTTTCAGTGAATAATGTATGTCCCCCTTCGCTGCTAATAGACACGACATCAAAAAACATTGAGTACTTTTCATGTTAATTTAATTATAAAATTGTTTATATTTTATAAGTTTCTACTATAAAAGCAATACAAATTCATTCTAGAAATTTAGTTTTGAAAAAAACAGGAAATTAGAAAAATTTTCAACAGGCACTATTTATGTGTCATTGTTTTCTTCCAACCTTTAGTCATAAATATTTTGCTTGTTTTTTCTTTTAACATAGATTAAACAGTTTTATACTTTGCTCTTTATATAGTAAATCTGAAAGTATTACAAATCGACTATTTTTAATGGCTACCTATCTTTATTTTGTACATTATGTATGTACATATAGGCACATAGGTATCTGTGTATATAAACATATATCTTAACCATTGTTGAGCTATTTCCATTTTTGCAACTGTATGTAGAACACTGCAATTAATATCTTAGTGCATTAAGATTTTGTTTTAATTTTCAAATCACTTCCTTGGGATAGATTGCATAAAGTTAATTTCAGTAAAAGAAATTCAATGCAGTTTGCCTCTAATTACCTTGCAAAAGGATTGTATGCCCCATCAAAAGTTATGTATGTTGGCAATGTTCAGTTCACGAAACTCCCATTAACATTGGTTAACCTTATTAAAATTTTATTTTGTTAATTTCCAAATTATAATTTCCATTATTTTAATTTGCATTCCATGGTTTGTGAGATTGGGTACCTATTCATGTTTGTTAAATTGTTGTTAAATGGTTGCATTTCCTCATGTGTATTGCCTCTTCATATTCATCCACATTTATGTGTGTCCAGCCCAGCATTAAGATTGTCTGTGTTAAAGATACTCACTGTTGGTGAGTCTGTCTTGTCTTTCAATGTTCAGTAAAGTTGATGAAGATGTCATGTGAGTTTGTATACTCTTACTACTCTACAAGCTGAAGATTATGCTTTGGGTTTTCTAAAATAGTTTATAATTTATACTGTATTCAATATGTCATATTTAATATTAAATATCAAGTTTAAACATCTCAATGGTTCAGCTGTTTAAATAAGGAATTCAGTTATCATAATTTTATGGTTGAACACTATCAACCTTCTCAGTCATGTTAATGTATGAAATTTCTTAAGCCATTATTATTATCTAATCTGGACTGCTTTTTATAGGCTATAGAAAGCAATGTAATTAAGTTTTCAATAGTTTTTGGCCTCATATGAACTAGTGGAGCTTTATGTTCATAATTGTCCAGTAAAAACAATATATTCTTATTTAGAAAGTACATTCTTTGAAGCTCTGTTCATATCCTTTGATAAATCCATTGAGTTTCCTCAAAAAAGATAGGGTTGCAAGCCATACATAAGATTTGTGCATTTTATTGTATGTACCTCAATAAAAAAAGAAATGGGAGTTAGAGGTAAGGAAGAAGATGAATATCTTTGAAGATGATTTTTAACCATGAAAAATGAAAGTTTGAAAAGAACAAGTAGGTATGTAACTTCATGTTCAAAGATCAAGTTTAGATGGGTCAAAGACTTAAATGAAAGGCAGAAATTTAAAACAAGAAAATAGGGAAATGCAAATTAAAACCAATGTGCAATTCTGATAATAATAATTGGTGAGAACCAGGAGCAACAAGAACTCTCATGAAATTGAAGTAGGAATATAAATTGATATGGTCACCTTGGAAAATAATTTGTTATCCCTGGTAAACTTGAAAGTATTCAGTCTGTGCAACCAACAATTCCATTCTAAAAAAAAAAATGCTTGTACCGTGTCAGGGAGAATAATGACAAGAATGTTTATGGAAGCATTACTTGTACCTTGGCAGGAGGGGAGAGGTTGCTGAAAACAACCTAAAGGTCCACCAATAGAGTGAATATGATGAAGAATTTCCATCTGTAGGATATCGTAAAGGAGTGAAAATTATCTATTTATGAATCTCAAATATAATGTTAGTAAAACACTAAGTTATCAAAAGTGGTGGGTGTGTGCACGTGTGTATGTAAATATATATGCTATTTATATGTAGCCTAAAAGCAAATAATATTAGGAGATATATGTCAGTAACAATAAATGCATATGTACAATTAACACAGAACTGAGGCTTGTGATCACTTCTAGGAGAGGGACCCTGAGTGCTTCTGTGTTCCTGTTCTAGTTCTTAAATTAGACATGAAGTACATAAGTATTCATTTTATAATTCTTTAAGATGTATACGTATACTTTATGATGTTTACAACACCCTTCACAGTAGGGCTTTGATACCACATCAATGGTTCCTGAGCCTCAGCTTCTCCTTCAGTAGCTGAAGGGTACTTAAACAAGCCTCAAGAATTGTTCTGATGACTGAGGTCCAGCTAGTCAAACATGTTTTCAGATTGTAGATTTTATTGAGCTTCCAGTTTTGCAACTGACTAATTTATTCAAATAGCCAATGATGTGACAGTTGAAAAGCACGAACAATAGAAAGAGTGACTTTTTATTTTTCTTTTTTCTCACTTTAAAATTTTTTCTGTAGAAGTATTTTATGTTCACTAATGGAAAGTTGGAAAATCCTGGATACCAGTGAAAAGAAAAGATAGAATCTTACAGGAGTAGTTCAGGTTCTTAAAAATGGTTCACAGGACTTTGAAGAAAGACGTCATTCACAGAAATTGTATTAAAATTCACAGTAATCATTTGATTCTATTTTGTTAGTAAGTGTGTGATGTAATGTGGCTGTTTTGTGGCCTTAAAATAGCCTCCATTGGATGAGAATTCTGTTTTTGCAACCCAACCTATCACTGTATTTGATGTACACTGTACATCAAATTCCCATGTTCTATATATTATAGAACTTTGCATTACCTAACTTTCAGTAGTACATTGATTAGAACTTCAAATTAGTCTTCCTGTTTCTTTTGAGTTGTGTTAAATTATTTTTTCACCATTCCTGTGGTTAACTACAAAAATTAGAAAAAATGCAAAATGCACCTACTTAATATTAACACACTATCCATAGAGATTTTTTTCAAAAGGGCAGAATTTCTAGCATGAGTTTCAGTAATATTCAACAGAAGACATTTCTTTGAAGTGAAATCTAATCAAGGATTAGTATTTGATATTTAATACTCCTTGGCCTACAGCTCTTAAAAGTCCTTTGTTCTATTTATAATATACAGTATGTATACATAACATATACATACATATACATACATATACATACATACATATACATATGTATACATACATACATACATATGCATACATATGTATACATACATATGTACAATGTATACATACATATACATAACAGTATGTATATGGATACAATATGCAAGTCCACACACCCTTTGAAGAGACTCTATTTTCAGAGCTTAGTGAGTGATAATCACTCTGTGACCAATGCCAGGGCACAACAGAAGGAACACTTGAGCAGACCATGTCACTTCACTTAAGACTCCTTAGTAGAGATGCTTCTTGATCTGTGTCTTAAAGGGAAGTCAGAAAGTAACCAACTAAGTGGGGCAGGGGAAGGGAGGAGTCTATAGAGGACCATTGAGGCGGACGGCTTGATAGAAGAACTACATTTGGGTTCAGTAAAAGTGTGCACTGCTGAGGTACTCGCTGTAAACCAGAGAGAGAAAAGCAGATGGTGTGAGGAGCAGAACTTTAACTCTCAGGCTCATT